CACAAATGATCGTGTCGTGTGGTTACCTAACAGTAGGCTGACCAAACATGCAGCGTCGACGGGGGCAGACGGGATGTCACCTACAAGTCTACTGCCCCACCACAATATTATTTTTTTCATGTCATAGGTGAACCGAGCTGACGGATTACCTGGTGGTAAGCAATCAGCGTCACCCATGGGCACTCCTAATACCAAAGGTGTAACTCCAGATATTAGGAAAGCTTATCCGTTAGCAAGTGCGTTGCCGACCTCTTGTAGTTTATTAGGGACAAGGAATTTGTGGATTGAGGATGGGGCTGGAAGGATTGGCTCAACGGTAACCTCACTCACACAGCAAAACACAACACTATTTACACATCACCACACAACCTATGACGTCACAATACATCCTTGATCTAACAGACGAAGTGTGTTAAAAGAAAGGCGACCTACTTACCTAAATATGAAACAAAATATAAGCCTTCGTACCGAGGACGCGAAAGTACAATTCCGGTTGTAAGTAGTTTAAAAATATTAATTGCAAAGTTAATTGTCCATAATAATGTTGTTATACGTCAAAATGATAAAATGTTGTTTGATGAATAGCTTTTCGATTATTTTTGCGGATTTGTTACGCTCTAGTGATAGTGAATTAATGTAGAGAAATTATAATGAAATATTACTTTTTCTACCGTGTTAATTTATGTTTTCGGCTTACTCACGTAATAATTTGACGAGATACTCGACTAGTTTCAAGCCATGCTAGAGGCCCATATTCATGAGCAGCATTCCGCGACACACGACTCGGCGACCGTCGCGCTGCTGTCGCCGACGCGACGCGACGCGATCAGCGATCAGCAATAAATAATTTAGAATGTCTCACGTGTTAATTTAATTAATACAGATGTAACAGGCCTTTCGTAGCTTATTGTTCTGGCATGTTCGAATGGTATTTGCTTCATTGGAAAGACTTTGTGGTGGGTGTATGAAGTGTGGAAGAGCCACTACTTCGGCACGAAATGGTCGACCGGAGTGATAGAAGGAAGGAGTGACACAGAAAACTGGTGTAAAACAAACTCAGCATTGTGTTTCCATATGAGTAAGGTTACCCAGGACCATTAATCTTGAACAATCGCTCCCCAAACTCTAAATGTCCGAAACCTTAATTCACAAAAGACAGAAATGCTCTCGTAATTCCTCAGGTGTTCTGACTCCGATAATTCGTGAGCTCGCTTGCCGTCCTATTACACAAAATAAAATAAAGGACTGACTATCCACTGACATACACTTTATACCTTATCTTCACAAGCAACAACATCAATTTCCAAGTAGTATAGTCAAAAATTCGGTAAAAAGCGCGAGCCTCGTCGACCAAAAGTGAGAGTCAAAGGTAACGTTCCATTTGTCTACTACAATAGAGTACATTCATAGGTATTGCAAAGACGTCCAGGATATGAGAACTACAAAGCCAGTTATTGGTTGAACACACAATAAAATTGTGTCGTCTACTCCATACACTGCTAGTTATATGACTTATTCATATAAATGACGACTCCAGCTCCATTTCAAAGAAACGCATTTTACATTGTTGATTGAAAATGTTTTGTAGTAACGTATGTCTGTGTCTACTTTATTGGTTGGTTCCTTTCTGATGCGTTGCGAGATCTCGTTTCCTCAATATGAAGACTTATTGTATTCTGCACACGGAACTTGCACGCGAGCTGCAGTCGCTTCGTTTATTATATTGTCATGTGTTTTGTATTTAGTAATACTTATGTATTACTTAAAATCAAAATTTAGCTTGATAGTTATTGCATATTTCAATAATAGAAAGATTGATATTCATATTAGTGGCTTTAGATCATAACTGGTTGCTTTCACCAATTTCGTATTATTTGAAAGCCATTGCTTATAAAGGCTTCATGGATAGTCAATAAAATTTTATAGTTACATCTAAAAGTTACTAGCCTAACCTAACTTAACACATAGGATCGAGTACTTGTAATGTAACATTACTAGAATCGATTTCGTAACCTTTTCTTGTAAATTTGTCGGTAGGAAAATTTCATTTACTTTTAATGTTCAATTACGAGTCTGTTTAGTGCCTAGCGCTTACGACATCTAAGCTAAAAGATCATAAAATTGGCCAATACAAGTGAGAGGCTGAACTCATCTCATGCGGATTCCAATTAAATCATAGCATCTGAACTGACGTTAAGCACGGTACGAGATTGTAACAAATAAATTTGTTACCGTAAAGACTTCCGGATTTTGCAGATTACAATTTAGATATAAAATCAATTTTACACTTAATAAAGTTTTGTATAATGTTGATCAGATACATTTTTTTTGTCAAGTCGTAATACCGATTGATTATGGCATTATTGATGTTACTTTTTACTATTATTAGTCGTAGTATTATTAAAGACTACTTATCTATAAACTCTAAAACAACTATAAGTGTATGTATTTTTTATACATATCTTCTATGTGTCTTAAGGTATTTAAAATCGAATATTCGCACGTAGAGTGGCTATGCTTCTGGTATAAACTCGACTCGACTTGTTTTCCAAAGCAAATATTTTTAAAATATGCCTCTATCTCAGATTTATAAAATACATCTTCTGCATAGGTATTGGGTACTCCGAAAACAAATAAATCGGAACAAAATGTAGGACCAACTATTAACTAGCTTTATAAAACTTTTTTCGTTAACGTCCGAGTGCCCAGTTGAAATGAGAGTTGGTGTCAAAACTCACATTCCTATACACAGACCGAAAGTTTTAATTAAAACTACGAATATACTGAAAACTCAATTTACCAACTGCAAAAGCAAAATCCTTAACAAATATACAGGTTTTTGAAAACTGTATACAGCATTTCTGTTCGCAGGTGATTCCAGATCCATTAGTAATTTTAAAAGGCGTACACGCGCTTCCTCAGCAGACCTACACACTCCTTGGATAAAAAACACAATATTATACTTACATACAATTATAAACTTTCACAATTTAAAATTAAGTCCTATTTTCAAACGACTAGCTCTTCCTATGTCCAATTCAGATGAAACTGATTTTACAATTACATAAAGCCCATTTGAATTTATGTTTTAAATTGCTTGATGGCCGTTAGAATAGTATTTAAGTATGTTTCCTAGAACGGTCGTGTATAGCTGTCGTTACCCGCGTTTCTAAATGATTACCGCGCACACGCAGGCCGCCATCTTTGTGGATCTTCAACTTATTGTTAGATAAGTGAAGTGATGTGATAATTGTGTTATTATGGGCGTTGGTTTGTAATCAAGTGTAATTAAGTATTACAAAAGGGTTTGATTGTTTCTGCAATTATTTATTGTACTTTTTTGGATTCTATTAAGTGGTAGCAGCATCATATTTATTGTAAACTACAACTCTATCAGAAGCAAGAAAAAAACTATTGTAATAGGAAACGAATGGAAAATTAACAGTTTCTGCTAATATTTCAGGGATTAGCAAGCAGAATTTCTCTAATTTAAATCTCTAGCTGTAGGTAGCCATGTTCCTCTAGATAACAAATATCAGCACAAGCATTATGACCCGTTCAAATCACCAATAGAGGAGTAAGTGGCGCAAATACAATTAATCGGTGATCAAATTAGTTCTGCTATAAGCACCAAGGCGTTAGGCACGGGTGACCTATTAATGTAAGAAGAGGCACGGTAATGAAAAGTGCGCGTGTTCTTAACACTAGTTGATGCTGCCAAGCGTTGTTTGGCTCATTAACGGAATATTTTCAAATGTAAACGCACTTTCTTCAACCGAGATTTAATTTGACCAATAAAAAACATTTCCTTTTTTTTCATATCATAGGACGTCAAACGAGTAGACGAATTACCTGATGGTAAGCAATCAGCGCCGTCCATGGACACCCGCAAAACCAGAAAAGTTACGAGTGCGTTGACGGCCTTTTGGGTATTAGGGTTTCAGAGATTTCGAGTTCGGAGAAGAATGGGAGCGGGGAAGGATTTTGCCTTTGGTAACTTCAATCACAAGGTGGGACATAGCCTTGTAGTTGTTTCATGCCGGTTTTCTGTAAGGCCGTGAAATCACTCCGGTCTAGCCAACACATCTATGCCGAAGCTCTCGCGCTCATTCATGGTGATCAAAAACTTACCTACCACAAGTACCGCATAAGATCTTGTAAATGTTCAAAGCTTATGGAATCGGTTTCCGTATTTGTCAAAAAGAGATAAGTGAAAGACTATATTTATGTATAACAATTATCTTTACAACTGTACTGGATTAAGCTTAATGTACAATAGGATATTGATGGATTGATCCAATACTCCCGCATCCAAAATGATTTGCTGATGAACTAGTACATAAGTACACGTGTGCCATTTCGGATATCGGGCAACAATGGGCTAAACGCAGTGGCAGATATCCATTCGATCTGAAGCTTACAAACCAAAATGCAATTACTGTAGAATTTAATTAAGGTTTAATTTTGTGTGTACTAGTTTAAGCGTGGTTTCAGTGCTATGAATGTTATTTGCCAATAACGCATATACGACTAGAGTAGGAACTCGATGTATTTTCGGCTTTTTAATGAGAATGGAAAATCTTTCACCCTTAATAAATTTCGATTAAAATTGATTTTGAGTTGTTATTCTCTTAAATGCCATTCGTCTGGGGAGGCTTGTTATAGCGTTATGTTTCGTCTCGTGAATGAAGTTACCGGAGGCCCAATAATGCTGGGAAAGCATTATTGGGCCTCCGGCCATCTTTAAATATCCGAAGCCTTTCCCTAGAATACCGGCAACTCGCTCGTAACTCCTTTGGTGCAGCGGTTGTCTATAGGCGGCGTAGATTGTTTACCACAAGGCAATGCGACTGATCGTTTACTGAAAAAAAACACCAATCTAGATGAGTTACCCATACGGATAAGCTAAATATTCACGCAATCAAAGTGTTCTAATTGCGATATAGTTCATACATGTAAATTATCTACTGATGAAGGCTTTCCGAAGCCCCGATTATGACTGTGTGACATTTGTAGCCTCACGACCTACACAAGGCACGCGCCTAGTTTGGGATGTAGATACAATATAGTATGTAATGTGGGTAAGCCATGATTCGGCACGAATGGACCGGCTTGACTTCACTGTAGTGATACTTTGAAAACTGACGTGAAACAACCTTGTGTCGCCGTGTGAGTGAGGTTACTGGAGGCCCAATGCTTCCCAGCTCTCCAATATTTCCCAATCCCTAAATCTACAATACCCTTATCCTAAAAATGCAATACACTCTTAGCTCCGATTGCTTACCTTCACGTAATCCGTCATCTCGTTTGCCGCCCTGCAGATTTAGTATGAGACACCTGTGTAACTAAGTTCGTCTCTTTGAGGTACAATAAACGGGAACTAGGTACTGAGGATTCACTAGATCTACAACGCCAGGTGGTGGCACAAAGCGCAACATTTGATTGCCGTGTAAACAAACAGACCGACGTCCAGTTGCTATTGATATTAGAATATTGAATGTTCCACTGTCAATATCAGCACCTGCTCTGATGAACCGAATATTTGTATTTGTAAATCCGACTGCAGTTCTCTTGTTCAACAATGCTTGGATTTAATTTGATATTTTACATATGCAAGAAGGTATTATTGGCACGTAGGTACTTAAAGATACATAAGTAGATAACTCTATAAAAAGTTGCATATACCACACTTAATTCCTTTAAAATTCTCTTCAAATTTGATGGATATCAAAACAGTAAAAGTGAACTGAAGCGTAAGATTTCAAGTATTTTTCAGAATCATCGAATCGAACAGGTTCGCAAAGCAATAGGGAGATGAGTGTTGTAGCCAAAAGCAATATTGATACAGATTCACTGTCGTCCTGATCCGGTGCAATACAAATTTAAAATAAAGCTTTTTAAGACGTTTCGTTAAGAAACTCAATTCAAAATATTCGATACCTTATTAAACAGCATATAAAGTAAAATTATGTAACAACAAAAAGTTACGAATTAAGTATGCACCCGAAAATCAACAAACCACGTGTGGCACCGCTCAAACGGTTCTTTCATCAAAGTTCACAAAATTATGGGGATATAAGTACAAAAAAATATACCAAACTGTATTGTTCAGTTATAAGTTCATTTTTGACCCTACTGTTTTTGTAATACGGTCATTATTCTATTAAAGAAAAACCTAATTGGATTAGTTTCACCTGCAGGCGTCAATGCAGTGTAATTAGTCCAGGTAAAATTAAAAGCTCCTAAAAATCAAATCAATGCAACACTTGAATGACTTTATTAAGACACATCCAATCACACCTTTCCATTCCAGGACTTTTTAGATTCATAATTGGAGCCCTTTTTGTTGGTTTGTAAGATTGGCATTTGGAAAATTGAAATCCAAGTATTCAGAGGTTTTGAAACACGTGCAGGTTGAAAATATGAGTTATCCGACGTGCATTTAATTGGTTCTCAGATTTCTCAGTCAAAATATTAACAATGAAATTGAGGATGTTTTTAAGGATGTTTTTAAATGAATGATATTTAGCAACAGATCAGATACTTTGACTGGTGTATTTTGTAAGTACACGCTGTACATGTTTCTTTATTTGTTGAGTGACCTCGGTTACGAAGACTAGTGAAGCGTGAGATACAAGATAAAGATAGATAAATCGTGCTTTTTGGGGTACGAGTTAGCGTAGAGGTCGCTAGTGTGATTGCTCAACTCGATGCCCGCCCCGTGTTTGATGCGTATATTTTATTTTCTTGTTAAATAACTAGCTACTCTCACGCAATTTTACCCACTGCTATGCAATATGCAATTTTGGAAATCCGACCAGTGAGCGGTTCCAAACATTACCCCCTACATACAAACTTACAAATTTTACCTCTTTATAATAATTAGTATGGATAGATTACGATGCTGTCGCGTTAGAATGTTTGTATGACACAGTGATAACAACAATTTTATTATTCAAATAACACTTATCTGACTATTTAAAAATCAGCTCTATGTGTAGTAAAGGGTGTAAGTAGTATTCTAGCTTTAGTACCTACTGTAAAACTTGTAATAATTACTACATAAATGTACTATCTGGCATAAAAGGACACAGAAAATTAAAGAAGTTTAACATTTCTCGTTAGCAAAATAATAAATTACTTCAACGTAATTTAATTTCAGGTTTATATAAAACGGGAACTTTCGCACTGAAATGTCAGTATTTTAGATCATTGTCCATTTATTTACATGGATGAACGTAAAAGGAAATGCAATTTAACGTCGGAGCTGTTACAGTGAAGTCCTTTTGAAGACCAGTTTCGTGAAATTTGATATAATTGTCAAAGAGGTAGTTATTTCATACGCTATACAAAACGTGACACTTAACAGGAATAAACATTATAAAATTTAGACCGAAATAGATATTAATTTTAATGATAGTCTTGTATTTAATTTGTTTTTATATATGATAGGACGGCAAACGAGCCGATCTGATGGTAAGCAATCAGCGCCGCCCATATACACCCGCCGCAACAGAGGTGTCACGAGTACGTCGCCGACATTTTGGGGATTAGGAAAAAAGATATTTTAGGATTGGAGGAGGGAACGGATTGGGCCTACATTATTACATGGCAAAACGCAACACTGTGCGTTTTTTCACGCTGGTTTTCTATGAGGCCGTGGTATCACTCCGGTCGAGCCGACCCATTAGTGCCAAAGCATAGCTCTCCCCCCACACGATTTATTGCGACTCTAGTCATCGTGGCTCGTTATTCTTAGGAAACAAAAAACAAGCGACTATGTAGCTACTGCTAGTGTTTAAAAAGTTTGAAGTTAGTCATAATCGCATTGATTGATTCGGTTCAGTCCATTGTGAAATCTTTCATTCTGATGTAATTTCAACATTAGTAATAATTTTATTAGACACGAATTACATTACCGCATTCGAAACATCAATTGTAATAGAGGAAGGTTGGAAATTTGGCTTATTGACAAATAAATAAATATTTTGTTTGCCAATCACCTACGACCTACGTACTTTTCTCTGAGTTCATTTCGTCATTTTTTTTCAACGTAGTCTGTATTAATGTCAGCTTCACCAATATTTTATGGCATATTTACAAAAATATATTCAAAGTTTTCAAAAAAAAGTTTGAATATGAATAATGTTATTTTAATTGTATCGGGGCCTAGACCTGGAGAATGAGAAGGAATGGCGTTTTCAATCAGTAAGAGTCTGAAACCTTAATCTAGCCTCATTCGGGGCGAGAGTAGAGATTTGACGATTTCCCTGCCACAAACTAAAAACAGTCAAAGAAACACAAACGACAAATCACCAAGACAAGTTTGACAATTATTTTCGCATTTGTAACTGTAGTTATCATGGTCGTCTTACTATAGCTCCTGTATAGTATATGTAAGTATAAGAAAGTGCAATAAGTACTAGACCGTATAACATCACTCCCTGTCAATTAGCTCTTTCAACTTCCATAACAGGATGAACTGATTACATTGCTATCAGTTTTTCTCTCCAGTTAGTATCAATATTGCATTCAGACTGTACTTATTACCTAACATTCACATCCGTGAAGGCGTTACGGTAACATCGAGTTACATTGCGGCACTAACAGCGCATCTGTTCCAATTAGCTGGAACATTACCAGCGATGAACCACGCGTGTTGCGATACAATACAAGTAGTCTGGATTGTAAAAATCTATAGAGTACGTGATTGTAGCTTCCGCGTTTCTTTTTGCATGGCATTAGAGTATTTTGTTAGATATTTTCTCTAGTCCGTAAGTCGTGTTTTATTCTAGACTTTAGGTTTTCGGAATAGAATTTAAAATGCATTGTTTATTGTGTTGTAAAAAATGTATGAAATGTAATGCTTGTTACATTAGTCTGGCCTCGTGTTAGCAACGGAACTGTGGTAGTGAGGCCTTCCGATAGGTCGCTACACGACCCTTGCATTGTAAGTAACCTTAAAGAAGTCTTGACTTGATGGATTACTCTTTTTGTTTCGTACTTTGAAGTAATTAATTGTTATGATCCCAGTGTGTAACGTTTATACAATTGACTTATGTTTTATGTACGTTTTCTCTATGCTCTGATTGATTGCGGATTTAATTCCGAAATCTAGTTTCCATATTGAATTAGGTTACCACTTTAGCATTCTGTATGTTTTGAAATTAACAGTTAACTAAACAACAGTAAGGTTTGAGTGAAACAATTTTTAAAATTTAATTCCTTTGTAATTAAAATTTCGGTGTTTTCATAACATTATTTGATAAACCATAATCTAATAGCTTTTGAATGTATTTTTGTAAAATAAAAATAATGAACTCTACACTTGACAACTCAACCACATATATACATATACTATTTTATTCATCAAACACCAAGCTGACGCCGGCGTTCGCGCACCTATTGTCCTTCTATTCTGCCTCGAATTACCACGATTGAAAGGGTACATGATGCAGCTGTAATGTAATACTAAATCACGTCTTCTTTATTTCCAGTTGACCGGCGATGTGGACATCCAGCTGTGCCCCCAAACGCAAGGGTCTTCATTCCTCCAGGAGACATAGTGCCTGGTACCATAGCGACCTACGAGTGTGATGAAGGGTACGAGCTGTTCGGGGCTCACCAAAGAGAATGCACCCTCAGAGGCGACTGGACTGCCGACGTTCCTTTCTGCGGTAATAACTCTTTTCAGTTTAAGTCTTGTATGAATTATAAGTAGCGAACCCGTCTAGGTTCTGCACAGGTGATATGCTTATACTCAGTTCATCCACTATCAAAAGGATGTCGCTATACATAGAAAACTTTCCTACAATCAGAATATCTATAAAAAACTGTATCTGAGAAAAACCTTAGGACTTATCACGGCCTCACAGAAAACCGGCGTGAAACAACCAAAGCGTTGTGTTTCGCCGTGTAAGTGAGGTTAAAGGAGGCCCAATCCTTCCCCTCCCCCAATCCCTCCTCAATCCCTAAATCTCCAAATCCCTAATCCCTAAAAGGTTGGCAACACACTCGTAACTCCTCCGTTGCGGGTGGTGTCCATGGGTGGCGCTGATAGCTTACCATCAGGTAATCCGTCTGCTCATTTGCCGATCCATTACATAAAAAAAAAACTTAAGCTTACATCGTGTATAGGGACACAAAAAGCAGCTTTGTTCTGTACTATGTAGTGAAAAGAAAAGTGGCACTATCATTATTTTGTCAGTGACAAAACATACACGCTGCACTCGTAATGGTTCTCGAACCTTCGTAATCTCTATAACAGCTCATCATCATCATCTATCTATAAAACTAATTATCATGTTTAATTACGTCTTTGAGTTAATGACTCTATTGTTCCGTTATGATAAAATTTCTACTGCCAGCATTTTAGAAACTACACCAGTCACCCAATAAAAATCAACGTTTTATTACTGAGAAAATTAAATTGTATTATTATCTTAACCAAATGAATAACAAACTTCAATAGTTTTGTTTTAAATCCAACCATAAATTAAATAGCAGAAGATTCAAATTACCTTTCATTCTAGGTACAAACGTGGCGTTCAGAAAGCCTGCTAATCAATCGACCACAGTTCGCGGAGGTGCTGCAGCTAACGGCAATGATGGAGAGAAGACCACAGAACATGATGGCAAGCGGTGCACGGAGACACAGAGGGAAGCCTCGCCATGGTGGCAGGTGGACCTGCTCAGGCACTACGCCGTCAAGGTGGTCAGAGTCACTACAAGAGGATGTTGTGGTAAGTGTACTGATATCTCAGTCTCCTCTTATATAATAATATATAATTACGCCGGTATTAAAGTGAAAAAGAATTATTTAAATACCTTGGTAGGGCTTGACGTTTCGACCTGGTTGCACAAGTCGTGGTCGCAAGCAGACTGAAGATGTAATGACACAGCTACTCTTATAGTCTTTTACAGCTGAAATAACTCAAAAATTGTTCTGATTTTAACGGAAACATACACTTCAACCAATGTTCACGTCCTATCTCGAGCTTAATAGATTTTGAATTTAGAATGGCAATGATAATTTCGTACAAAAGAGACCAAATCAAGATAAGTTACAATTTTATTTGTCGATCAAAAGCGAGACATAGTAAGCTTTAAGCTGTTAAAGTTGTACTTTTACGCTTCTACGAATATGACCATTACGACGCTTTTAATAAGCGGTGTGGAGTACCTGGAGTATTATTTTAAATAAATACTTACACGCTGCACCGACTAGTGAAGTTTACTTCTTAATATAGCCCTGTGCTCCTAACCTACTTACCTACTTGTAAATAAAATGCAACAGTCCCTAAACTATTACAGAAAACTACTTTATACAAATATATTGATCTTATCCCTCCACACGGTACCAATAAGTATAAATCGAAAACACCTCAATATTTATATTGCAGTCCTACTCAACTCTGTTTAGGAAATCGCTATTCAAACTCTTATTGCATTTTGTAAAACAATGGCAAAATCATGGACCGTATGTGCATAATTGAGTTTCCGAATTGTAGCTTCGGAAAGCCTACGTAGTTATCAAAATTATTAGGTACATACACCACCACCTAAATTAGGCATATTTCAAATTACGACCTTCCATCCTATTTACAGTATGTAAACAGGTACAAAATTCATTGCACTGTTTTCACTCCATTTACAAAAATAAGCATTACGCTGTCTGCCAGGAAGCACTACGCCGAGCGGCAGCAAGCTTGAAAGGTCGAAGCTAAATCTCATCTCAGTAATGTTGTTGAGTCTGTCGAAGCAAAATAACCGGAAAATAGGACGAAGTAGTCTCTGAAAACAAAGTTAGGTTGTAGACAATGAATGCATCCTTGCTACTTGGGTAATGTGTTTTTCACAATCTCTTTCCAGATCCCATTTGCCAATAGACCACTTTAGGCGTAGTGTTGGATGAAAATAATTGTGTGTTTATAAATATGAAGTGTATTTGAGAGAGCTGGTCATGTCACGAGACACGCTGTGACTTGAAACTAGTTAAGCCTTTCTTAGATAATTCACGTGACTAAGTCATTATTTTCTATAAATTTTGTTTGTCCACGATAGTCACTATTCAATAATATGAAGTTTATTTGAACAAATGCTGTGAAAATACCAACTAAATGGTTTCCTTTCAATCACAATCACCTGGACCAAAACAATCAGACCGTACACACAATTTCCACAGGGGATTACAGAAGTAATAACATTTAAGATTAATAAATAATTGTGAGCGGTCATTGATCCGTCTGGGCATAGGTAACGGAGCCAAACGCTTTGTAAAACTTACTCGACTATGCAGTTATTTGTAATTAATAGATGATTTGCGTGAAAGTTACCGTTATGACACACAATAATACCGACGAAATTGACGTAAAATATACATGTTTTCGGCATTAGGTATGTTGATTGTTCATGCTTTTTTTATTAGTATTGTTTAGGCCGGTCTCGCATCGCAGGCTGTTAGGCGAGTAATAAACGTTAAAAAGTTCTAAAAAATGTGCATTCGTTTACTAAGTATGTCTTAACAAATTATTTTATGATTACCAGGTCATCAGCCGCTTCAAGATCTAGAGATCCGAGTGGGTAACAGCAGCACAGACTTGCAGCGCAACCCTCTATGCGCCTGGTTCCCTGGTACCATCGGTAAGTGTAGAAAATAAGCCTACAAATTATTACACTGAATTTTATCCTTAATACAATTCACTATATGTATGTATATGTCGCCAAGGAACTTACAACTGAAAAAAACGTCGATATTTTTAAGTAAGTCGGTATTGATAAGTTTAGGAAAAAAATAAAAACAAACATCAATACAGTTTTAATCTATCAAAAAATATTCTTAATAACATAAATAAAGTATTTTCAGTCTATCCTATTTGTGACAAGACAATTCCGTAATCACAAAACATATCAAACTACAATTCAAATCCCGATCGGATGTTGAGTGTTAATGGTTTTTAAAGCCAATCACGAAAGCTAACACACAATTTTCCGTGAGCCTGAGCTATCGGGAACTAGGTGAATGGGAAGGTAGAGCAAATTAAATAGGTAACTAGCTTTTTTATTTGTTTTCGAGCGCATCGCCCGTGTCCCGTTTCTGCGCTGCTTTGATGTCGTATAACCTGAACATAGGACAAAGATAAATATATCGAAATATAATACATACACTTTGTAAGGTAACAAAAATAGGTGGAGTTATTGTATCATTGTTAAAGTTAAGTTTACCTGATGGTAAGCAATCAGCGTCACCCATGGACACTCGTAATACCGAAGGAGGGGAAGGATTGGGCCTCCGGTAACCTCACTCACACGGTGAAACACAACGCAGTGGTTATTTTACGCCGGTTTACTATAAGTGAGTTGCCTGCCTGTTGTGGGTTATAAAAGATTCAAGGATAGGGGATTTGAGGATTGAAGATAGCGGAGTAAAGATTGGGGCTTCAGTAAGTTAATTTAGACTTAGAACACAAAATAAGTGCTGCTTCACGCCGGCTTTCTGTGTGTTCAGTCGAGCCGGCCCATTATAAGCATATAGCTCTCCCACAGTATGAAGTACAGTTTTTTTATCGTCAATATATGAGTACGATGTAATTGTATTATGATCTAGAAATAAAATATGGGTACGAATATATTTTACGATTCTCTTTACAAAAAGTTTATAGTCTTCATTCAATAGATACACTCATACTGTACATAGTTTACTTTTTAAAACACTTATAGAATTGAAACTAGGTCGAATACGACTATGAAATAAAGTGATCAGTACTTATGTATGAGTGTGGTAATGTTACTACAGTTTTCTTCTGCCAGTAAAGTTTTTTTCAAGCACCCTAATTAACAGTATTGAGAATGGTCTTTGTTTATTCGGACTAAATGTTCTTGACAATGCTTACATATATGTCTATTTAAAAGATATTATCGAGGATGAAGAAAACAAAAGTGAAATGCACGCAATTGAACTTTGTAAAGAAATATACCTGTATTTAGAAAGTCGTATTTTGAATATAAGTATAAGAAGCATCATCATCAGCCCGAAAATGTCAACTGCTGGACAAAGACCTCCCCCTTAGGGAGAGTAGGGGGGTCCATAATTCCCACGCTTTGGGGATCGCAGTTAAGTTACCAATAAATGGATGGAATGCTGCTACCCACTCCTCGGTGTCTGCTCGCAGTTTAAGGACGTACCCGGGTTACGTTACGTTCATAATAAGTATACAAGCTGTATTTATAGGCTTAGGTAATTAACTAAATGTAAATGTCATATCTTTATATTTAAAAGTTATCTGAAAGTTGTATATTTATATGGTTTACAATAAGATTTATACCTAAATAAATGTACATACCAAATCTTTTACCTTTAGTTACCCACCTAAATCGATAGACCCATAGTAATGTATTTAGATTTATAGTGAGGAATTTTTATATAGCAACTAGCTGGACTAGCTGTGACCATAACAAGCAACAAAAGCACACGAGGCATCCATATTTAAAAATGATAATGTCATTTAGTTAGTTTCGTCATAGTAATTGAAGACCTATAAATTGTTTTTCTGTTTAGGGCTGATTTTTCAATGGTAAGATATAGTTATCTTCGGAATAATTATAATGGTGTCACGTCAGAATGTTTGTAAAAGACAGTGACAACAACAATTTTATTCCTCAGATAACATTTATTTATCTGACTATTGAAAATCAGCCCTTAATTTGACTAACACATCTGATATTTAAAATAAGTAGGTAAATGGACTGTTAGTATTGTGATGCCGATACATTTAGGATAAATAAACAAATCAGTTTTTGTACATTACATTCTGGTAATCCTCAAACTGTCGAAACTTAATCTGGTAATAGCTAAACGCATTTCAATAAATTCGTTGCAACATTCAAAACAAATAGTTTATCGAAGGGTTCATACTCCATAAGCTTGCCCCACTGCCCTTATTATTTCAAAGTAAAAATAAGATGCAGTAAAATGTTTACAAAAACCGTAGTTCATTTGTTCTAAGTCGGTCATGGTGAGATTTTTATGATCTGTGAAATGTGAGATTTACGAGTATATGAATGTTGAGATCATAATGCTATGAATATTTTTTTGTATTGTGAGTCATCCATTATTGACTTTTTCTCAGTTTGCTTGTTATATATTCTGTATATTCGGACATTGGCCTAGTAAATTAATAATGGTTCCATATTAAACGACTGCGTAGTAACTGGGCAATCGGCTGATGCGTGAATCGAATCCCGTTCAGAACAACACTTTGTGTGACGACTTATTGTTCTGGGTTTGGGCAGTACATGTAAGGAGTAAATCATAGTGTGGGACAACTAAGGGTAGGCTTATCTAGAATTATAAGATTTTTAACCACATTACTTCTCATCACGTAATTTTACAAAACTACAAAACAAAAACAAACAAAAGTTGTACATAATCATATTTTTAAAACAGCATAAGTACTTATTTCCTAAAGATTTATATTTAAAAAATGAAACTGTTTTTTTTTAATATCAAGTTGTTTTTCGACTTTTTTAAATATGCAGTAAATTATTACAAGCAAAGTGTTGTGTTTTGTTGAAATATAAATCATAGACAATGCAAATAAAGTATGTTTTAAGTTTATAACCGACTAGTAACAGTCAGTAGCACGATGCAATAACAGATAAATAAACGACAACAACCCTTAACACAATTTACATTCAGTTATAGAAACGCAATATATTTTGGTACATACTTTCCATATATGAGTATACATTCTCCGTTCGCAGATAAAGTTACTCTATCTTTACTTACATAGGTACGTATATTGCATATCATCGTACCCAGATACCTAGTTCTGTCTCGGATTGATCGGGGTCATTCACCCTTCGACGGGTCAGCTTCCTATATCAAACATCGCAGTGATAACATTGCACGCATAGATTTTTGATTCTAAATAATTTTTAAATATATATATAATTATTATTCAAAGCGATAAACAATGTACATGAATAATAAATCATAATCTGTATCCAAAAATTTTTTAACATGGCGTCAAAATGGCAATGTCAAAAGTGCATTCACCTCACAGCGCATGCTCGATGTGCAACCAACTACTTTCGTATCAATCGACCTCTTCTTAAAAGATAAACATATCGAAACATAATTTTTATGGAAAAAAAAAGCTTTTCTTTTTAAAATAGGAATTCTTTTACGTTTTTAAGTGTACAAAAAGTTATGTAAAGCGTTATGAGACATGTGATTGAAATTGAATCGTAAGTCAGAGTAGACAACATCGGTTTTCGTCGACACCTGATTGGTTGTGGTTTTACGCATGGCATTCAGGTCCGTAGAGTTGGGCTGAAAATTTTTAGACTCAGTATAGGTTCCATCCCCAACAAGATAGCACAGTTGGGGATCGATCCTATCCACGAAAGAGACCTTGTAATAAAATAACATTAATGAAAAGGAAGGCAACTTCTTAACTTAAGACCAGTTTATGATTTTAGTATTGTTATGTAATTATTTAGGGTTGAAAATGTGATTTTTATCAAAAAAATACTTTTTTATCTTAAAAATCTAATTTTATAATCATACTTGCGCCCTGTCGATATATGTTTCATAAAAATAATTTAGTTTTTAAACAAGGATCAAACTAGCGACCAATTGACCGGTCACGGAATCGTTATAATATTTTGAATTCCAGTAAGTATAAAATTATTAATGAGTAGATAGTATTTGTTTACAAATTTATATAAAAAATACTAAATATCATATTAATATTTTAAAGGCGTCGTGAAATCACATTGCCTTGTGTTTCATCGAGTTACTGAAGCTATTAGAAATCCAATCCTTATCACATATATCCCTAAATCCCTATAAAACCGACAATGCACTCACAATAACCTTAGGACGGCACCAACTGCTTACCATCTGCGTGATCGTTTGCCAGCCTCCATCACAAAAAAACTCCTCACATGAAAAAGGAATGAGCATAAATGATCACGCTCACTTAATGCTGGTAAAAGGATTAGGACCATCACTGCTTCACGACTACTAGTAAATTTGCCAACCCTTAAGGCAGCTCTTACGAAACCCAAGAAGAAAAGTAGTGAGAATGAGTGTGGGAGAGTCATGCTTCGGCACGAATGGGTCGGCTCGACCGGAGTAATACCACGGCCTCACAGAAAACCGGCGTGAAACAACCACAGCGTTGTGTTTCGCCGTGTGAGTGAGGTTACCGGAGGCCCAATCCTTCCCCTCAACCAACCCTTCCCCAGTCCCTAAATCTCCGAATCCCTAAAAGGTCGGCAACGCACTCGTAACTCCTCCGTTGCGGGTGTCCACGGGCGGCGTTGATTGCTTACCATCAGGTAATCCGTCTGCTCGTTTGACTTATTACATAAAAAGAAATTGAGAGAAGCAACGTACGTCACATCAATCACAAGAAAGCTGCAATTGTGTCAGTCGGTTCACATGCTCTTTATGTACTGGTAACCGGTGTAGAAGCGGGTCGCCATAATGATGTCGTTGCAACCGCTTTACGATTGTCTTCGACACTCTCAACGGGATCACTAGATCTCCTGACGATTTATAATCATTTAAATTAATAAAGTGCCCCGCCCAGTGTCATTGATAGCAATAGCTAATTATGAAGCAATAACTCGTGAGTATGAAAGTTTTAAACAAATCTGTCTCTATGCTGTGCTCTCTGCCCACACGTGTCTGTCGCTACGTCTCTTCTTTACGCCAAACTTACTGAACAAATTTGAATGCAACTTGGTAAAGATATGACTTAATACCCGAAAAAGGAAAGCGAATAGTACTTATTATATTTAAAGATTGTGTTGGAAATGTCTTTTTTGGAATGAAGGAGAAACAAAACAAAATGTATGCTATAGTTTTTTATTTTATTTTTGAAGGTCATTGACATTTTCTTATAGACAGGTCTGAGTCCTTCGTGGGCAGCTGCATCATTCAGCACTAGCATGGTTCCAGTGACTACAAAAAAAAAACACTCCGTCAGAGAGAATTATCCGAAGAAATACGATAATAATGGTCTTTCGTAACTTTGTAAATGAAGCTTAATCTTTTTATTATTTTTTTTTATTTATTAATATCTAACATTAATCGTGAGGAGATGATATGATGAGAGATGCGCTCTTTTTATATATTTATTTCAAATAAAAAGAAGTTAAAACAGTTAAAAGAAATTAAAACAGTGAAACAACCACAGCGTTGTGTTTCGCCGTGTGAGTGAGGTTACCGGAGGTCCAATCCTTCTCCGCCCCATATCCCTTCCCCAATCCCTAAATCTCTAAATCCCTAATCCCTAAAAGGTCGGTAACGCACTCGTAACTCCTCCGTTGCGGGTGTCCATGGGCGGCGCTGATTGCTTACCATCAGGTAATCCGTCGGCTCGTTTGCCGACCAATTACATAAAAAAAAATTATAAAACGGCACTCACCCATCTTCATCTTTTACCCAATCTTCAAACTCTTCAATAGCATCTGAATCTAGCCACCACTGCCTTTTGAATCGCTTATGATCACCGTTGTTAGCAGCCATTTGTGCATGGTAATTGCCAACTTCATTGTGATCTAAATCTTTCAAATATATAACTATTTTACCGACATTACCACTATTAGCAGCTTGATGAGGCATAGGCTTAGAAACAGGTGCAACGTGTTTCGCAAAAACGGTGCCTAGAATCACACACAGGTAGAACACGGATAAAAACTTTACAGCCGCTGACATTTTGTTAAGATTATTTCACTTGGACGAGGAAAAAAGAAATATGAAATATCCGATGTTATTGATCGCTTTTATATCGCCGTCGTACTAAAGCAGGCACCTGCTTGCAATGTCATGTTTTAAATAACTACAAAATCAAGACATTTATAATAATTTATCGATTACAATAAAATCCATTGGTTATTATTACCATAATAAATAGAAATTATATTTATCTGTTCAAGGTATTTTTTCTTTTTTTATTCTTGACATAGATAGATTAATTAAATTTTCATTAGGTAGAAAAGTTTCAGAGCGTCATGTATTCATATCGATTCTGACAATATATGAGCATTTCCTACGCAAAAACGCTCTGATTTGATCGCTCTCGGTTTTTGCAAAGCCTCTAGCGCACGTCACACATGATGGCTAATAAGTCCAAGAACTATTGCATCAGCTATCACGTACATCGCTCAACAAATCAACTGTCCATTCAAGAATGTAACCACAACAAGATTATGAAAAAAAAACGAACTTTTAATTTCCGAAAATAATAAAATTAATTATTGTTGACCTTTAGATTTATTACATCGAATACCGCAACCACAACTTGTTATGTGACCGGAATGTTAGTGTGTGTAGTTATTTTATCCGCATTTTTGCAACTTAAGTTTTATGGTTTGGATGGTTTTTAGTGCATTCCTACATATTATGTTTCCTTTTGCCCTTGTTTATGCTTCCTTTTTCTTGTATCTTCTTTCCTATCAGTCCTTGTAAGATTATGTTCAAAATATCGAAAAGCGTCAATAACTCTGGAAGACAAAAAATCTGTTTCTAACGTTTAGGCAGAAACAAACAAATACGAGCCAAGAACAAACAACGATTTATTATTATAAACTGCAACGATATCAAAGTAAAAGCGAATAAATTGATAATATAAACTGATTCTCTGTTTTCAAGGTTCCTGTCAGCCACAGCAATAACAATGCATTTTCATTTAACTTCATTAGGGGAAAGGAATGGTTAAGAAAGTTGCAAGGACTATTGTGACGAACATTCAATTCAACACGTGATGTTGGGAACTGAATGGATTTTAAAATGCATATTTCGAATGTGTGAATTCAACATTTCTTTCGGTTTCTCTATTTATTTTCAGGTTTACTTCTAAATATTGTTTATAGCATTGTTCTGTCCTGGAGTTAGCCTGGACTTAGTAAAGCATAATAAATAACAATTTTAATTTTATATGATTTTTATGATTCAGTATTACCACGTTATAATTGATTTTTAAAAATTATTGATAGTAAGTCTATGGATATGGATTTAATATTTGATATTATGTTTAATGTAAATAAAAATACATATATCAGCTTTATTCTTTGGCCTGGACAACGAAGACTCTAGTTCACACAGTGCCTATTTTCATGACAATTATCTCGTATTTTGACGATTCTACTTCAAAATAAAAGTCGCATACCATTAAAAGGTAAATGGTATGCAACATCTCTCTTAGACGTCTTTCATTTTTTTCAAAAGCTGTAGTTGTGGTCAAGCTGTGGCTCCATATTAGACCACTTGAACAACAAGTAGGACAGAAAACACAGCTAATATTTTAAGGGCGTCAAAAGCTAATGTATACCTACATGAATTAAAAAAGCCGAAATTTATCGATGGTGCTATGTAAAGTCTGACAAGATGTATAATTTAATTAAAATGAAGATGCATGCTTTGAAGAGATAGATATAATTGTATTTTATTATTGTATTGTAATTAACAACTTTTACTATACATTATAAATTATTATTTTGTACGACAGACGAAGTTATTTTCGCTTTGTTGTTCGTAATAAAAGTAGAGAAAAATATGTATATGTTATGTATACATAATATGAACAACATTGTTCATTCATTACATAAGCTATGTATGCTAAAGTTTTCACTTCAGTGCCTATTGTTTTTGCGACAATTATAATCACCACGCTATTTTAATGTTCAACGGTTATTTAAAAAATGGTAATTATAATGTTTCGTAGTTACCGTGGCTGGTCTTGGGTTTTATTCCTAATTATAGATATTGTATTGTATAAGAATTAGGTTCCAAATTTAATCTGGTCGGTGCATAGATGAAGAGTCACTATCAAATACACAATATTTATTTATTTATTTAATTTACCAACAACTGTTACAGATATGTTAATATATAGTATGTTTACGTATCTGTATGTTTGTCACGACAAAAAAGAAACACTAATGGTGTGGTGCAACATTTTATTGTATATATAATAAAAGTTACATAACACTTTGAACATATCGACAACCGTTTGATTTATAGGAAGGAAAGCAAAATAGCAGTTTTCTTGTTACGTCATTTAATAAAAACTAGTTAACCTAATACTAAATAATACCTAGTTTTTATTACACTGTATAAATACTAGTTGTGGGTAAAAATTACGTAAGTTTAGGAAAGTGTTTGTTCGTTTGTTTTTATGAGTAAACGGTGGAACGGCTCGCCTGATTGCTATGAAACTTTCATCACGATCACTATTGTTTTGCATGATGCCATTAATTACAGAAGACGTTAGCAAACATACATATTTCGCTGTACCACAGTTTGAACTGTGCAGGTCTAGTATGATGAAATCATCATCGAATGACTGATATTTGAATGAAGATATTAAACCCGTCTGAAAGTGGGAAATAGTTAATGAAGGATAAATAGGAACTAAATAACGGACGATGTAACTGGTCTCAAAAATGTTCATCGATATCTGGCTTAAGTGTTGTAGGTACCAAACAAGTATAAATACTTACTATCTATACGTACATATACTTACATACTTAGTATTACAACTACTTAGTATTATAGTATTTAAAAAAATTACTAGGCCGTTACCAGATTCGTGAATTTGTATTATGAATCGATAAATAATAAGATCATTAAACTGAATTAATTAATCCCTACATACAATTGTTGTGTAACCAATTAAAGCAGGTACTTTGGACAGTGAGAACATAACCTTAAACAAACGAGCGAAAGTAAAGAGAGCTAATGATTACATAGAAAAGGTTGGAGTGTCAACTACAATCGCTTAAACGATCACCATTTATAATCACCAGATTTGATGTACCATGCACACGATCACACAGTTTACACCTAATCCATTACCTCATCGCTTTAAACAATTGCAATGCGCACGCATAACAGAAGCGCAATGTAAAAACTCCCAGCGGAATAATACGCGAAAGTGACTTGCGCTTTCTAAACCGTGATACGGTCTCTATTAACGACAATGAAGATTCCCACAGCCAATAAGTGTTTGTGAAGAGTTAGTTATGCGCGCCTGTCACACCGTAGCGTAGTTATAAGGCAATTAAAAAGCCAGCTCGAATATGCATGGAAATTGTGTAATTGTGACTATTGTTCCCCGTAGAACCATCGGTGTTAATGAAGTCATTAAACTAAAAGATTTTACGATTCTTTATTTAGGTTTATAGTGTGTTCGTTCATTAATCCCAACTCTCGATATTTCTGATCTCCTGGTGTTATTTTTTCGGAACACTTCAATTATTTTTAATACCTATAAGAAAAGTATCGCCGTAAAGCGTAGCGGTATTTTTTTTAAATTAAATTAAAATGTTTATGTATATAAATGATCTTTGAAAAAACAGGTGGCAAAAAACCACGCTGAAAAATGATGTTTTTTCCGCCTTAGACTTCTTATCAGATAAAGACTAGTATTACTATCCTTCACAAATAAAAGCTATTCGATATTTTTTTTAAATATGCACGTATCAAGGATACATCGTGTACATATACATATGAATAAATGTAAATTAAGTGCAGCTCGTAAGAGCCCGTTAAGAAACTAGGTCATGCTGAAACTCAGGGCATAATTCATGTACCTAGGTACTGAAGTTAACGTTTAATAACTGAAATGAAAAAAACATTTCATTTCAAGAGGTGATATTAATACATAAATATATGTATATATTTATATTGAATGTAACTATTTTTGCCAGCACCAGGATTATTTGAAGAAGAAAAAATAACTATGTTGATCTCCTAAGTATGTAATTTACTGTAGCATTGAAAGAGAATCTCTCATAAATACGTACTACACATACCTACGAAACGAAAGTGGGACTTTTCTGAGAGTACAAAAACGGACCGAAAGTTTATGAACAAAATAAAATTTTCCATGTTTATTCATTTGTTATCTTTTTTCCAAAATCCTTTTAATAATGACAAACTGTTCCCAAACGTTCTACAAGCAAGCGTAGTTTATAAACCTTGCGATCACCGGAGATATTGTAGCTTCCCAATTTTTCAAATCGGTCAAGTAGTTTCAGAGCTTATTCAATTCAAAGAAACAAATAAATATTAAATCTTTCCTCCTTATAACATTAATGTTGATAAAGTTATACTGATCAGTGTGACAGTCTCCCATCGCGTGCATTTCTCCGCTGTTAAGATGGCAGCGCAAGCGCAGGCACGCGGCGGCGCGCGCAGCTCTAATCATAGACAATTGTCGACTAGGAAGTAACAATTCTATAAATAGTATTACTTAATAAACATGAATTTCTTTTAAAATTTCATTCTCACAATCAGTATCGTATTTAAGTGTGGGAGAGCCAAGAATCAGGTAATTCGTCAGCTCGTTTGCCGACCTATACCATAAAAAAATTGCACGATGATTGTTTCATTCATTTCAGTCTGAATTACTTTAGAAACTACATATAACTCGGAAAAGTCACATTGGTATTTGCCAGGTTTCGAACCCTTCTCTTGCTTGACCTTGACCTCCAGTCAACCACGATTTTTTTTTTATTTACATTATTATAAAGTACTTAATTCTTTGTTACAGATGAAGGTAAAACGAAAACGTTCACGTGCGCACGACCGCTGGTTGGCCAGCACGTGTTCCTGCAGCTGGTCGGCGTTGAAGGCTCCTTGTCTCTCTGTGAAGTTGAAGTGTTCACCACTGAAGGTAAGTCAACTCTAAAAGAAAATAATCTTGATAAATACTAAGTATGTTGAGTTTATTAATGACTAGCTAATGACGTGCGATTTTATCCGCTCGCTGCTCGACTCCTATTGGTCATGGGGAGATGTTAAATAGCCTATAGCACTCAGGAACATTGCATATAAATTGTGTATCGGTAAAGATTTTTGGAAATACGACCAGCGATTCCAAAGATTCAAACTTACTTCTTCGTAATATAAGACAGATTGAGAGTGGCCGTATTGACGAAGAACTAATAAACAGATATTTTTAAATTATATATCATATCAGATTCAAAAGCCAAAAGATATTTTCTCTTTACAAAGGTCTTCCCTTTTAAGTGCAAATTTTCCTAATGTTTACGCTTGCTTTGGAGCAACAGATACACCAACAATACAATGTTATAGAAATGAAAGCATTTCGTCCTCTTTTAAAAATACTCCTTAAAAACATGAAATAACAAAAAAAATAAACAAATTCTTTATTTAAAAACAGTAGCCTAATATTTATTAAAGTTCCACCATAGCGCTAGCTATAAAAGCAGTGCTTTCGTACATCTCGTGAGCCAGAGTCAGTGACTGGAATATTGAATGCACACCGTAACCTACTTTTACAGGAATATTTAATTATGTGTCCTGACCTGCCTCAAAGCGTTTATTACTCTCCAGCGTACGATGCAGTTGAATATCGGCACAAATAGAGTTGCAATCAGTGGTGTAAATACGTGAATGTAACTCTGTCCTATTTATGACAGCCTGGTAACTTTGTGCTATAACAATGGCTAATTAAGCATTGAAAATCTAAACCATTTCATATAACAAAAAGTAATCTTTATCCGGTTGTCTGTTTATTGATTACGAGTAGTATATTAGTGTATTAACTCTTAATTCTCAATATTTTATATTTTTAATTAGGAGTCTTATTAATAATCCCGTGAAACGATAACTGTATTTTCATTACCAAATAATGGACGTCAATAAAACAAATTTCAAACTATTTTTTTTGGAACTTTTTAGCTTATGCATTTGTTCTATTCGCCAGAATTCTCCAACGACCGTTGCGCCCCAACCGGAGCCCCTGCCGACATCGAGCTGGCTGCTTTCTCCAGAAACTGCTACGAATTCAACGTGGCTAAGGGCATGTCTTTCGATGACGCTAGAAAGCAATGCCAGACACACGGAGGAGATCTCATTCACGGATTCCAGGTAACAATTATATTATGCCTGAGTTACTAATCTAGACAGTCTAGAAAAAAGACAAAATGAATTACTATTCAACTTTTATCAGTCTACACGATGTCATAATTATCGGGCAAAAAATATCCACAGCTGGACAAAGGCGTTCCCCTAGTCCTCCACGTTGAATGACAACTCACCACTTGCATCCATTGGCTCCCCAAAACTCTTACGATGTCGTTGGTCCACCGGCGGGAGGTTTACTAACGCTACGTTTTCTGGTTGAGGGTCGCCATTTGAACTCCTTCAAAGTAGACTAAAAATATGTCAATATCGAATGAGGAAAACTTAAGACAAAATAAGAAAGCTTGCTGCAAACAGAACAGAAAGTAGGAAACGTTACGTATTAAGTACAAACAATGTAAAATGCACTTTCTACATATAAACCACGAACTCAATACCAACTCCACATCACCGCATAATGTCACTATAATGCACTCACGTCATTGTATAATCTCGTCCCAAGGGAAATCAGTGACACATACATATCTATACAACTAAGTATAATACAAAGTATCTATTCAACAGTCCGATATGGACGCATTCCTTCATCGTTAATCTCAAATCAGAAAATCATTTGCATAACAATAGAAACAATGCCGATCGCAACTTAGATTAATGGAGATATTATGCCAAACAAAAACTGTCGTTAAGACTTTTAAAACAAAGGTGGGTTTTGAATATGTATGATGTCTAAAATTATTTGTATTCAAATGTAACTAAATAGAGATTAGATTCTTTAGTTAGAGTAATAGATTTCCCTAATAGATCCTGTAGCTCTAGCTAAGGAGCTCTGGTCATTGTGTGAGTATGATTTTAGAGAACTTGATATCCTTTTGATATGGTCTGCCATGTCTTTGGAAGTTACAAATAGATACTGTATCACGCATGTTATTGTGCCTTGGACATGATACAAGTGAATTACAATTTAGCCAGGTGTAAACTATATTGTTGGTGCAAGCAATAGGTACTGGATTGTTTGGACCTACAATGTTCATTTCCAACAATATCATGGTTACAGAGATATTGGTTGACTACGTGCAGAATTGACTTCTATATAATAAAGACTAAAATAGTTTTTTTTATGGGAGACGGATTATCTGGTGGTATGCAATCGGTGTCACACATGGATACCCGCAACTCCAGAGGAGTTCTAAATTTGACTATGGGGGAAAAGGATTGGGCCTTCTCCGTTTTGACACCAGTTTTCTGTGAGGCCGTGGCGTCACCCAGGTCGAGCCAGCCTATCTCTGGCAAAACATGGCTCTTCTACACTTATAGAAAGTGCTTTATTGATCAGGTTGGATACAAACTTATTCTAAAAAGAAATCACGACCAACATTATCAATCCAAATACCAATCTAATTCCTGGAAACGTTATAATTATGTCTACACAAGATATAGATTATTAAATATATATAATTAATCATGCTTTAAATATATTTGACTTAAGTAAGTTTATATATACATATAATATGTCAGGTAAATATAGGCGTGATGCGATATTGTCTCGACATTCGATACGGTGTATGAAGAAATCTTTGATTACTAAAATGTTTTTGAGGTAAAATCACAAAGAAAGAATATTACTTATAATGGCGACGGTCGAGTAATTTTCCATTTTGATCGTGAATAGCAACTAGACATCCACGTGTATCATTAGTCACAGTAATTTTGGGTTGTTAGCGTATTTTTACTTTTCTTTTGCTTTCCTACGCAATCTTGTATAACTGTTTGTCGAAAGTGCCAAGGTTTTAAGAAGGCCCTATTAAAAAGGTTTTCTTTTATTTAATTACGATATATTTTTTATTGTGATTCAGTGAAATATATTTTTATTGTCATTCGTAAGACCATAAAATACTTGCCGAAAATACCTGACACATTTTTTAAAAATTAAAATATTTTTAAATTTTTAATTTAGATCTGCAGGCCTCTCTTATGCATGTGCGTCGTTTATCAAACTAATAAAACCGTGAAGATTTTTCATAATAGAATCTTCGAAAATACGACTTACCTATTAGGAGATTATAGGTACAAAGTCTAACTTTTATTTTTATTCCAGGGTGCGACATCAAGTTTTCTGATCCAAGAGCTAGAACGAAGGAAACCTCAACTAAAGACCCAACTGGTCTGGATCGGAGCACAAAAGGAACCGGGTCTGACTTCCAGAACTTGGAAATGGGTTGATGGTAAGAATCCATAACAATTTAACAACAACTCTTTACGAAAATTGATATTATAAATTAAGGGATTTGCGCTTTGTGATATATTAAAAGCGTACAACGGATTTCCTATAAAATATAATTTTTCTGGCACTTATATCCCTCGATCCCTTGGTTTTTACATGAGTGTTATATAGGGTCTTTTGTAGGACTTTTTATAAAATTTGATGGACGCTATCCTATAATTCCTCTCCTCCTATAATTATTGCTTATGAAATGGAACCAACATTTATATGAAAATGAGACCAAATAAAACCTATTTATAATTGTCCTCATCAGGTGAACTGGTACAAAAGCCAACGTGGGGTAAGGACCAGCCGAACAACTACAATGGAGAACAGAACTGCGTGGTGCTGGACGGAGGTCGGGCGTGGCTGTGGAACGACGTGGGCTGCAACTTGGACTACCTGCACTGGATCTGCCAGTACCGTGAGTGTCATACATAGGTACATATCCTTTTCCTAATCGAATGTGAACCCAGCGAATGTGCTACGCGAAGGTATGTTGCGATGTATTTTGATATTTTTATAGACTACCAATGTTCAAGACGCCATTATCTGCCTTTCTAAGCTTTAATCACATAGAGTTTTTCCGTGCGGGAATGGAATCCGCGACGTTTTGCCCAGCTACTGTAACGACTGTGCTTTCACAGTATGTATCATTTACAACTAAAGCTTCGAGTAAATTATTTGAACTCTTTTGTTTTCAAAAAATCCTAATCGAAACCTTATTATGTTCTGTTATAGCAACAATAGTGTTCATCTACATTTACAGTAGTGTTACACTGAATATACACCAGTCGAATGACAGCATCTTGCCAGTTTCACAGTGTTGTTCCGTGTTTTACAACGAAATAAAATTCTTTACTAAATGTAAGCCTTATAGGGCTGATTTTTCAATAGTCAGATAGTTATTATTTGAGGAATAAAATTGTTGCTGTCACTGTCTTATACAAACGTTCTGACGCGACAGCATCATAATTATTCCTCAGAGAACTTTTATGTAACCATTGAAAAATCGGGCCTAAATCTGGCTGAACATTGTTTTTGCTTAATTGCTACGAACCTAATTACACACAGTGCTTGCGCGAATGCTATAGGAAAACTGTTCCAATATATAATCCTTGATCGATTATGGTATTGCATTTTTTGTGTTGTTAAATATTTTCTAAGTTAACCCATTTCTTCTATGACATAATATAATTTATATATTAACATTTTCTTCAATCTGTTTTCTATATTTACCGAGAAATTCTACAAATACCTAATAGTTATTTCACGGAACGACAAAACCAAGTCATTTCTTCTACAATCTGTTATGTTTGCATTTCGATTTGTAGCGAGAATTCGCAATTTCCTTTGTGCAAACGATGCATTCAATGTCAGTCGTAGTCAATATGATATTTATGATAAAGCGCATCATTTACCTTTGTTGTTTTCCTTATATTATATTCAGGTTACAAACGTCTTGTAGTCAACAAGACGTTTGTAACCTGAATATAATATTGCTTTACCTTACATCTTAGAGCTTCTTAATGTATCTTATATACACTGCCTGTAAAAAAACAGGATCAAGGCCTCTTTTAATATAATCTCTTAATGTCAAAAACTATATTTCTATAACTAGATTTCGGGTTGAGATCGGTTACTAACCGCTTTTTTTATAATTAAATCTGTACTTAGGTTGTGTTATTAATATAATTTGATTTGATGTTTTTATTAATTGTGATAAATATAATTTTATGAATAGTTTTAACTACCATTCCGATCGTTCCTATAACTATGGGTTATGTGGTTATGGTCTTGTGTGAGATTTTTTAAGAATGACCCGTTTCTTGAGATGATTATTAACTCGATATCGAATCTGGGCTCGGAAAAAAAATTTGGTACCTACATTCTAAAATAATATAACTAAGAATGTGCCCTTTATCATGTAGGTACATATAATCTCCCGTAAGGTGTACAAACACTTTGTTATGTACTTATACATTATATATACCTACGTAGCACTAATTACTAGCACTCTTAAGGTTTTTCCTACCCTTTACAGAGAACTACAAGTAGAAGAAAGGAACATTGATAATATATTAATATTTGTAAGAAAGGGCAATAAATAAAGACAAGAGTTACCGAGCAAATAATCATGAATGAAATGAACAGTTTTGATTTAATGAAATTAAGTCGTCTCGCTATATCGGTGCTGTCGAGAGGTTAGCAAATAATTACAAACAATAAATATTCATATAAAAGCGAATGCTTCTAAAATGTTACTTGTTCGCAGTTATTACAAGCAATTTGCATACGTAATGTTATCGCAATAGTAATTGAAATTGCCTACTTATCCTGTTTGTACGTGTAACGCGGATACATGCGTCAAATGCAGTTGTCTTTACCCTTATAACTAATATAACATTACTCTATTGCATAATGAAAGCAAAGCACCAGCACTCAATCCATATATCAAGTTAATGAAAGATAGGTAACACAAAAAAGTTCGTGGTGAGCCGACTGTTGAAACACTATGAGGAAACTTAGACTTATCCATACTAATATTATAAAAGGGTAACATTTGTAAGTTTGTATGTATAGGGTAATATCTGGAACCACAGGTCGGATTCCCAAAATTCTTTCACTTATTGATAGCTACAATGTTCCCAAGTGCTATAGGATATAAAAGATCACGTCACGATCAAATGTAGCCGAACAGCGGGTGAAACAGCGCGAGAGTGGCTAGTAATTTCTAATTTGATTAGCGCTCGTAACGTCTCTGTATGAGTATAGTAGTGAGCTCGTATAGGCTGATGATGAACTGAAGCAAATTTTATTTAAGTATAAAGACCATTGCAATATCGAAATCCTAAGAAAAAGTTCGATTCATTCATAACAGACGAATTGATCGATAATTCTACTCATCCATGGTTCATCAAGGAAACATAATGAATTTAATATAATATAAAACATATATAAATAATATTCAACGTTTCTTTTTTCTATTTGTAGCTCGCCGTAGGTTTCGTGTCAAAGTGTATTTTCGCAGAAACCGTAGCGAGCAGCGGTTTGTTCCTACCTACAGTGGTACGACACCAATCAGTTGGTTAACGACGGTAACGTCGAACTAAAACTGGAGTGTTCCGAGAATAGTGTATTTTGTAGTTCCGAACTGTAAAGTGAAGGACATTAAACAAAACGAGGTCGGGGAAATAAATTTTCAATAATGTAGTCCAGTTATCGTGATCTTCACAAATATCTTCACAAATGCCATGTGAGCCATCCCTCCTCAATCCCTAAATCTTCAAGTCCCTAATCCCTAAAAGGTCGGCAACGCACTCGTAACTCCTTCGTTGCGGGTGTCCATGGGCGGCGCTGATTGCTTACCATCAGGTAATCCGTCTACTCGTTTGCCTACATATTACATAAAAAAAAATGCATCTGCTGACTATTATGACGTGACTTAATGATGGATTATTATTTTGCTTGCCTATGATCCGAAAACTAGACATTTGTATTTTCTTAGTAATTTGACAGACACGCAGACTGCTCTTGTATAACAAATCAACTGAGACAGGGTTAATTTCTAATTACGTTATAACAGTACATAGTAGCTACCATGTTTGTAAGAAAGCAATTGGCACGCCCATAGCCTACCATACCTATCGCCAAGTGCGTTGCCAACCTTTTGGAAATTGTACCTAAAGGGTTTGTGGGTCAAGTTATGGGAGCCACGCCACTAGTGTTTATGCACCGATATAAATACAAAACAAGCTTTGTTTTAAGCAGGTTTCTGAAAGGCAGTGAAAATCTATGCATACCGATCTTTAAATACAAAGTAGGTAATTTCTCTTTAATTGCAAAGAAATTGCAAAATAGCTTAAATAGAAAATGGGTTCAATCATAGATTTCTTAGCACATCCTTGACAAATCTGTAAAGATAATGAAAGAAAACAGTCAGTTTATTCCCAAAGTACTGTCGCTGTAGTTGCATCGATTCAATCAGTGTTTCTTATTGCCACCAGGGAGCGCTGTAATCGATTGTAGAACAATTATTATGATTGCAAAGCGAATTGTTCAAACGATTGTTATTGAAAGAAGTTATTTGTTTCTTGATTATTTGTTGCATTCTAATGCTAGCGGGAACGAGAGACCTTTTCGTTGAAGACACATTTGTTATGCAATGGTTTTCGATAATGACCTTATCATCAACATCGCTGGCAAACCAATTCACACAGGGTCTTGTTTATTTTTTCAATGTGTATTATATGTGGTCATTTATTTCATTTTAGTCCTTTCTATCATCATCTCTTATGGGCTTTTGCGTCATGATAGGGATTTTACATTGATTTTTGTCTTAGAACCTTTTTACAATCTTCATACTTACTTAAACACGTTTTACACGATTAACGTACATATGTGACAACTTGTGGTAATTACGTTCTATATTCAAATCTATCTAGACATTGTGAAATAGGTCCTTAATTTTACAGTTTATAATATTGAAACGATGTGTGTTCTACAGTGCCTCCCTCTTGTGGAAGTCCGGATAAGCTGTTGAATACGACCATCGAAGGAAACAACTACCAAGTTGGAGCTTCAATCGCCTACAAATGTCCAGAGGGACACATGCTTCTCGGAGACAAGACTAGGGAGTGCAAGAAAGATGGATTCTGGTCTGGTGCAGCACCCAGCTGTAAATGTAAGTAGTTCTTTGTAAATGTTATCTACTAAAAGATGGATCCAAAACATAAATGAGGACTTATTCTTTCTATGTTTAAACTTGCGCACTATTCTTCTCGTCTCCGAAGTAATATGCGATTTTTTTACTTCGAAATGGGCAGACATATTACGCCCGGTGGTAATTGATAATGCGATAGAGTATGGCTACCCATATCTATAAATCCACTTTTTCTACATAAGGGAATATTTGACCTATAATAAAACAAATAATTCATTTCAGACGTAAATTGCGGAGGACTGACGCCAATCCAAGATGGAGATGTAACTCTAGTCGACGGCAGGACGACACACGGCGCTAAAGCTGTTTACTCCTGTCGAGAAAACTATACCCTGGTTGGGGAAGCCGAACGCATGTGCATTGATGACGGTATTTGGAGCGGTGAAGCTCCTAAATGTCTGTTTGACTGGTGTCCCGAACCTCCTCCGGTTACTGGAGCCATAGTCACCGTCGACGGTCACAAGGCTGGATCTCTGGCTACCTACAGCTGCCAAAATGGATTTATTCTCTTTGGACCTCCGGTAAGTGGGACTTTGCCACTATTCTTCCAAATCATTAGTATATTCGTAAGCACTTATGAAGCAAAAGCTTTTTCTGCCAATAGACATCTGTGATAAGGATATACAACATGCTTAAAATTTATATTAATCCCATTGATCTGTACGTGGAATCTTCCAAAATTATTTAAACAGTTTCTCCACGAACGTGCCGAGGGCTAAAACATCTATAAAAAATAAAATGTAAGCTGGATAAATGACAGTACATAGATTCATCAACCAAGTACATACAAATAGCGTACGTTTTTTGGATTTTTCCGATTGGCATTCACAACCCCTACAAATAAATGCAAATCAATAGAACAATATGTTTTAAATTTGCGTATGGCAGGAGTGCATATTTTAAACAAAACAATTCGGCACTCATCCCAGGCCCGACGTATTTTCCATACGAAATGTGTCGAATATATGCCAGTTAACTGTTTGATTAAACTAACATTTTGAAAGCTCACAATGCAATACTCAAATTCAGTTTTCTTCACATGCAAAAAATCATGAATTCACTCCAGTTTAATAAAATATATGTATTGTTATCCTTCTTTCAGAGCGTAACCTGTACTCTTGGAGGATCATGGTCAGGTACACCACCTTCCTGCAAGTACGTTGACTGTGGAACACCAGCTCAAGTTCACAAGGGTTCCTTCATACTCCTAAATGGCACCACAACGTATGGCTCCATAGCTCGGTTCAACTGCGAGCCTGACTACTGGCTGGATGGTGCGGAAGTCCTCACTTGCAATAGAGACGGAAAATGGTCTCATGATATACCATCTTGTGAATGTAAGTGACATTCTACACTACTACAGGATTTTTAGACCTAAAATATCCACGATATGTTTTCCTTGGTTCGTCTTACTTGTGGACTGCAAATCTTCTTTTAAATAAAAGCGTAATAAACAAATGCGATCTATTCGAAACAATATGAGCTTATAGCCTCATACATACCTACATATACATACCTACCTACATTCTATGGCATAACCACCACACCTCATACCTATTACCAGATAACCATTACCGTACCTCCTTGAAGAACCAGATTACCTTTACCATACCTCCGTGACCAACAAACCAATACCTTCGTTTAAGACTTTCTGTTATCAGAAACAGTGAAACAAGCCGCCTTGAACAAAGCGTTTTAAACGTTTTTGACTTCTGACAGAAACTCGTCTTGAAAAAGACACTTGTAACGTTTTTGACTTCTGCTGACAGAAACTCGTCTTGAAAAAGACGTTTTAAAACGTCTTTAGGGAGGTACGGTAAAGGTTATCTGGTAATAGGTATGAGGTGTGGTGGTTATGCCATAGAATGTAGGTAGGTATGTATGACGCTATAAGCTATTTAACTGAATAATTACTCAAAATATTACTACATTCGAATTGTTGATTGATTTTATAACGATCAGTAAATTTATATTTGTAAGATAACATCGATTTTTTATTTAGATTACTGTATTACTTTCATAGTATTCTTGTACACAAGGCCGTGACGTTTTATTTGCAACTTTTGCTGCAGTGATATCATGTGCGGAACCTGAGGCTCCTGTTGGTGGTGAATTTGAGGCTTACGACTACAATGTGCACTCCACTATCGACTTCCACTGTGAGAAGGGTCACAAACTGGTCGGTGAGGCCAGCCTCACGTGCCAGACAGATGGAGAGTGGTCCGGAGAGTCACCCAAATGTGAATGTAAGTAATCCAAGCATAGTTGAGAAACCACTTGTAGTTTAGTCCATACCATCTTAACTTCTTGCTCCATCATTATGGTCAAGACTAAAAATCCAGAAGTGACATCTTCTAACATAATTATTACATTCCGTAAAATACAGTCGACAAGAGATTTTTAAGTGCGCGCGCACTAGTCTTCGAATATTTATTGTACGAATATACATTACTAGCTCTTACCCGCGGCGTCGCTCCCGTCATTTGACTACCTGCCCTACTTTACCTACCTACCCTACTCTACCTAACCTACTCTATCCTATGTCCTTCTCCTGGCTCTAAACTACCTCCCTGCCAATTTTCAGCTGAATCGGTTCAGCCGTTCTTGAGTTATAAGTGGTGTAACTAACACTTTCTTTTATAACGACTTTCTTTTATATATATAGAAGATTATCAAATTGTTGAATTTTGTCTTGTGCCAAATCCCATCGAATTCAGTCAGCTATACATATTAAATTGAATAAGATTATGCATAAGCCACAGAGGTTTTAAGCTTACCTATATATGTTATTTAAAAGCAAACTAAACTTATTTCTTCTATGCTCCAATATTTTCAATGTTTTCAATTCCCAGATGTGGACTGCGGCAAACTTCCACCAATTCCGAACGGTTCAGCTGAACTGCTAAACGGGACCACTCACCTGGGCAGCGTGATCCAATACTCGTGCACCACAAACTACAGGCTCGTGGGTCCTGTTCGAAGGATTTGCACTGAAGACTACCGATGGAGCGAATCCTCTCCCAGATGTGAAGGTAAAAAAAATATTCATTTATAAAATTTTTTTTTTAATTATTAACAGAAAATTAATATTGTAAGTTACTTTACTTTATCTTATAAAAAGTGATAAAGAACGTTCGAAAAATGAAATTTGGAATACCTAAAAATTGTTAAGTGCATTCTGTGTTATATATGTATAACTGAAACCTCTACAGATCACTACTAAAATCAACCCTATTTAACGTTGCGTTTGACACAAATATTTCAACTTACTTATTTCCAGAAATACGCTGCTCCGACCCTGTGGTACCAGAGAACAGTATCGTATCAGTAACTGGTAATGACCGCAACCACGGCCGCACTCTGATCCGAACTGCTGTCACTACCAGCATTGGGAACAGCTACCGTATTGGAGCTCTCGTCAAGTACCGCTGTGAACGTGGTTATAAGGTGGTGGGTGAGAGTCTTTCCACCTGTGAAGATAATGGCCAGTGGAGCGGAGTTACGCCAAGGTGTCAATGTAAGTTAATACCAAATTACAAATTCACTAGGTGTGATTCTATCTAATGATGCGATAACTATTATTTTAAACTGTTTTTCAATCTTTAAATGATTCGGTCTTATTAAACTGTGGGACTGTAGACATTATAACTATATCTATTCTGCTTTGTAAAACAACCTACCAATAATAAAGAGTGCCATTACTAATCCCTCCTTACTTTTACTCCAGACGTAGACTGCGGTAACCCTGGTCCAATCCAGAATGGCGTAGTGACGCTAGCAACAAACGCAACATATTACGGAGCAGCTGTTTTGTACGAATGTAATGAACATTGGCAACTGGATGGCGTATCGCGACGATTGTGCCAGGACAATGGTACATGGAGCTCAGAACCACCAGTTTGCAAAGGTAAGCATTCTTTGCAATCGTCTGGAAGACGTACTGAGTATTATAACAATGCTGCTGTTTATACTATAGAAATTAACATTTCTTTATTGTCTCCCTCAGAAATAACATGCACAGACCCATCAATCCAGATCAAGGGCAGCGTAGGTCTACTCGTTGCCACATCTACGTTGAGCATTGGAGGAGAGGCTCACTACCGCTGCGAACGTGGATATGGGTTGCAAGGAAACCAGACCAGGACCTGCAAACCGAAGGGACAATGGAGTGGAGCTCCACCCGTCTGCATTCGTAAGTCGACATTGCTAAAAGTTATCTATGTTTTAGAACCCTAATCGTAAAATCGAGTTGTAATCTCATTTCTTGGTTTGCTTTCAGCGATCGACTGCAAGTCACCGGGTACAATCGAGAATGGTCGTATCATCATTTCGAACAGCTCCACACTGTTCGGCAGTTCCATCGAGTACCATTGCTTGCCCCAGTTCCAGAGAGTAGGCCCCTTCCTCCGCAAGTGTATGGATGATGGTAAATGGTCCGGCGAAGAACCCAGTTGTGAGATAATCTCCAACGAAGCTGCCGAAAATGGCACGCTGCCGCTCAGTGTAGGAGTTGGATGCGGCGTTGTGCTTTTCCTTCTCATGTTATTGGGAGTCATTTATTTGAGGCTGTAAGTATACGAAACTATAAGTTTAATGTGAGATTCCTTTTAAGACTATAACTAATGAAACTGTTATATTTTTAGCCGAAAAGCCACGCCAGTAAAGAACACAGAGAACATCGAAGGAGCTGAGCGTAAGGAAGACCAAAATGCTGCTGTGATGAGCTACGCAACGCTGCATGACACGAATGGACGACATATTTATGACCATGTTTCCGACAACGTGTACGACTCACCGTACAGCGAAAGGATCGCCGACAACGTTGCTTACGGGAGACGAAGCGACACGGACTCGGCGTACGAGCCCGAGCCGACCGGCCCAAGCGCAGTGGTCACGATCAACGGAGTCGCTGTGCGCTGACCGCTGACTGACTCAAAGTGGCTCGTAAGACTTTTAGGTAACCAAATCCGACGCTAAATTGGTGTTCCTCAGTGTAAATGTTACCTGTAAATTTTCCCTTAAAAGTGGTTACCATTGACTCGAGTGTTCAAACGATACGATAGTTTTAGGGTTAGTTATGAGTCCCATTCGCTAGTTGATCACCAACCCTTACTAGGTATTGTACCAAAGATGTAAATGTGTTGGATTCGTGTGGTATGTTTAAGACTGCAATTCTTATCTATCCTTGTCAAATTGTTAAAAGTAACAATATAATATTATAAGTTATACGTAACTTATCCACGGTATTTAATTCCATCCTACACTATATAATATTGTCACCCAGAAAGCTCTAGTCTCTTCAAAACAACTCTATGCATTGCACTTTTTATTATTGTCAAACTTATTTGAATTGCAGTCTTAAATATCATGTAAATACTTTTTGTTCATAATTTTTACAATAACTCACAATACGAACAAAAAGTATTACAAATAGGTACTATATGTATTTAGTTATTAAAAATGTATTTATTGTTGTATATCGAACAATTAGAATTTGATGCCAAAATAATTCTGCGAATAAAATAATGCTTTTATGAACATGTTTAATTAAGGTATATTATTTAGTTTATATTCTTATTGTTCCTTTTGAATTATGTAGTTTCTTTATCGGTATACCTTTATACTATGAACTCGGGAATATTTAGGGATATGGTGGTATAGATACTAACCCGAAACGTGCCTTTATACACTGCTTTATATTTCTATTCTACGTATTGTTTTGTAAATATTATTGTTTAAGTTAGAATTAATATTAAAATACTAGAAACCCAATGCCTGTAAAATCTAGACCTATCTGAGACGTCTACAAGGATTAAATTATTGCATTCTAGCTAAAACCGACGTAGACTGTACCTATTATCAATCGACTAAGTACCTAGGAATTAGCTGTTCCTTTTTGTAATAAGAGAGATTAAGGTAGGAACTTTCTCTTGTTAGGTTCAAATGTAGGTACTATTATTGTATCAAAATACTAATACAGTTGCTTTTTTACGAATGAAATTAATTACCTAATCAATTTCATATATCATAGTCGGAACATAAAGGCCTCGATACAGATTGCATGAAAATGTTTTACTTGAATGATCTCGACATGACTTCTTGTGATTATCGTTAAACTCATCTTGGCCTGCGACCCCTCCCCCTCCCCCCAATGCCATGGCGTTATAAAATAAAATATATTCTTCTATGAACAAAAGTAAGGACATCATAAATATAATTGTGATTAAATATTAAGTGTTCATCAGAGTATACAATAATATTTTTGTTATATTTTATATTATGTACAATAATTTTAATTTAGACGGATTCGTTAAATAAATGTTCTGAATGTGTATGTGTATTTTATTTAGGAACTATTTTGGATAAAATCCTGTTTTCTAAGAGTCAAGTCCTTCGGTTACCTCACTCACATGACGAAACACAACGCTATGGTTGTTTAACGTCTGTATTTTTAGATCGAAATTTTTAGCAATTAAAAATAAAACCACTTACATATTTTATCAACTCCTTTATTTGTATAAAATTGACAAGACATCGAGAAGACAACGATAGCTTTATAAATAACACAGTAGATAAGTTCTTAAACATATAATATACATATTATATAATATTTATACAGTGGTTATTTACAGATATCAAATATAAATATTTATAAGGGATAACAGATTGATCAACTACGACGATTACCTAATGAACCTTTTTTTAAATAAAAGGGCGTTTAGGAGCTGTTGCCCATTTCAAATTCAACAAATATATGTATAAAATAAATATAAATAACATTGTAAATAAGAATTTTGTAATCAAACTAATGTTATCGTTCGTGCTCATGGTTTACGAACTCTTTTCGTACCATGCTACGAGAACCTCTTTCGACCACCGGTATTATCTACCGCTTTTAATCTCACACTGACCACGGTAGCAGACAAATCTGTCTACGCTTCCAACATAAATAAATTTACAAAGTCACATAATTCTCAGTAATCGTCGCAATGAGGCCCAATACTGCAGTTAGAAAGTTAAATCAATTAGACATACCATCACATGTGATTGGCTCAGGTATTCCTTACGTTAATTGTAGGAGCGTATAAAGTACTTACTTCATGTGATGTGGACCTGAGGCCTTGAGTGATGAATAACTTAAAGGAATTAGGTACATATGTGGAGATATACAATATTAGTGTAACATCAATTTTGCAGTAGGAAAAATGAAAATACTCCGAGCGTTTTCAATATCTACTGCATGTTTTTATAGTTCGAAGTCGAAATATGAAAAAGACTGTCAGAGGAGGAAATTATTTCATTTATAGAAGTCATTTTTTACTGTAAAGAAACTTACCCTAGCGTAGGTAGGTACGTGTAATTTTTATAAAGATAGTATTTTCACTATAGTACTTTAACGAGTTAATATTATTATATTGAATACACAATAAAACACGGTTTAACATTCTGTGGACCAATGAATATTACTTATTGATTAAATATATGTAGGTATTTTGTTTTAATAGGTATAAATAGTAGGTACGCCAAGGTAGGTAAATAGTAGGTAGGTACACAAGATTCTCACAACAGTGGACAAAGGAATATCGAAAAATCGAGAGGACAACCAGGGTACAACTCTGAACATCATATGAATTATAAATAGTATCTAAAAATATTACAAAACAGTCTATCTATAATGAATTATGACTAAATATAGGACAGGATTTGAATTTCGTTCTTGAGAAATGAATCAGCGCATTGCCAAAGGGGAAGGATTCGGTGGACGCACAATACAGTATATTATGTATATTTTTTATTTCAATTACATGCATATTTTTATATATTGGAAAATATCATTGTTGCCTATTTTATACTTAAACATGCAGACAATTAGGTATAATATTAAACATAGGAAACATCACTGAGAACAAATCCAAACGTACACTACTTACATTAATTTATAGTGGTTGATATGCATAACATGCATTATAATGTTCTAATATGTATGTATAATAGATATTATTTAGTAATTAGATATTAGGTAAAATATTTTTCTTTAATTTAGCCTACCCTAAAGTTGGCAAACAGACAGCTCACAGTTTCATTTAGATTTAAAGTTTAAGAAAATTTATAGGTATATCTTGAGTTTCAATGTAAAATGTAAAAGGTAAAAGTACCAGGGTAGAATGAAGTCAGCCATGATTGTGGAGCAAACGCAATAGGGTGACGCGGCCTCGGCCTGAAGTAGGAGAAGGAACGGGGCGGTTTTTAGCACTGCCGAAGCTCCGAGAGATGACAACTCTAGCAGTGCCGGTCTACTTGGCGGGAGTAGTGTGGGACACGCTGAAGCGGCACAAGTAGTGTGGTGTCACTTGGTACCTGAGTGTGAGCGCGGTTTGACACTACCTCTCGCCTAAGAAAAAGACGTTTGATGATTTTCCCCTCTCAAAGAAAAAGGATAAAAGAAGGTTTCGAGATATAGTGTGAATGGCTTAGAATAGCTTAGGTTATTGTCAGAAGTAGAATTTTTCCAATTAAACATAAATAGTTTTACAAAACAGTTATAAATCATACTAGATAGGTACTGTGTGGGGAAAAGATAGCTTTATGGAATATAACTATTTTTATAATCTCAGTCACGTGTTATTTAATATGCAGCTTTATAAATGACTTATAGAGTATTCATGCACAAAATCTTTATCATTGAAATATTAGATTTTCCTAGAAACACTATTTATGTATAGTAAAATACCATTAATTATTAATCATCATATTAAACATGAGTTATTGTACGAAGTCCAGGATTATTTGTAATTAATTCTATTCGATAAAAACTGTATACTTTTTAATGTACCTAGTCATTTAGTATTTACTTGTCACTTGTCAGTTTGGGGCAATTTTTTATATAAATTACCCACTTTTTTTACTCGAGAAGTCAACATATAATTTTATTGTCTATTCCTTGAATCAAATATTGTTTTGTAAGTCCGGGAGTCACATTAGATATACTACTATTTCTTTTACAGAATTATAGTGGTTAGTATTCATTCATCATTTCATCTATTTATTTTTCATTAGGTTAACCACAGAGGTTAACAGTAAACAGTGCTTAATTAAATGCACCCTGAGAGGTTTAGTAGCTCCAGAGCAGTGGAATATTGTTGGCTAAAACTGTAGCCTCATTGACATCTTAACCCTAAGATCTCGTTTACCTAAACCCAGAGCGTCTTGCGGGGCGCCGTTCCTTTGTCGTACATTACAGCAGCGGACCGGGTCATCGCCCAACCAAAAACAATCATACGAACATTACGAGCAATGTATAACGAATGTCACGACGCATCACGCCATACTCAGACGGGCCTAAGACATTGATGAGGCTACTACATATATGTACCTTCATATTAACGCCACAAAATATGTATGTATATTATGTAGTCAATGGGAATTAATAAAACCAACATCCCCCATAGAAAATCTACTTGGCAGTTGTTTTTTTCTTCATCGGGAACAGGACGACTTCTTCGTCAAATTTTACTAAAAATATAATAGTTAAAGCGAACACCTAACACGTCAAAAATGTTCTACATATACACGACAAAACTCAACGCATTTCCTTAAAACCCACACAAATTAATCACAAGTTCTTTATCAAACCGTCGGGACGGCAATTTCAAGTATTGTCATTCCATATTTACATGAGTTATTCTACTACAAAAAGCGTCCTATCTAATCAAAAAAGGACTTTAAGCCACCTGTTTTAAGGCAGTTTTTATGTCGAGTCCCTACAATATCTTGATGATATAAATATTGCAAATTAAAAATTGTTACGTACCACTAGATTTAAAAAATCAGGCGTGGACTCCTTAGTTTTAGTATTTGTCATTACTGTGATATGAAATATTATACATCATCGCATTGAAAATTTTCTTCTTTATTTCGCGGTTAGTGGAAAACCGCCATTTTAACCCTTTGAACACGGGACTCTCAAAATTATTAACGTAATCCCAAGTTTTTCATACCTCTATCTTTCTTTTTGTTTTTTTTTTTAAGTTATGTATCATTTATTATATAGTAAATGCAATTACTTTTATTCATAAATGTTGATAATTAATGTATTTATTATTCATATACAATTGCATGCACACATGCTTCGTATGCATGTAGATGACAATTGGAATATAGGTAAAAGAATATTGAAAAACCACAGACAAAGAACATACGTATTATATTTATAAGCTCCTACTTTTATTCTTTATCCAGGACCGTAATACAACGTATTTATTAATTTTGGTACCATTGATTTCTATAGACATATCATTCATCAGTTCATTCGTCTTTGGTCAGTCGTTTTGACTTTTTTTATTTTTCAAAATTATCGCTATTATCATTATATTGGGGCAGTTTTAAAGTAACGGCAATGTCAGGGCCTAAAAGCCAAAATTTCGATATAATTCAACCTAACTTAATGAACAAAGGCACACGTCAGTCATTCAGTGGAAGTAAAATTATCGCAATAATACAGTTTTAGAAGAATGTTAAGAAAGTAAGCTAATATAAAAATATATATAAAAATAATAAAAATATTAATTTGTTTGTATTGTGCACGGCAAAGAGTAACCTTACTTAAAAAATAAATAAAAAGTTACACATTCTTTGTGAAAATGCGATACCACTGGATCTAAGTCGAAAAACTAAAAAAAAAGGATAAAAACTGAAACAAAACAAAAATATAATGAAGAACTGTTTATTTTAACTTTCTCTTCAAATAAATAAAAACTTTATTGAACAAAAATTTTCAGGATCACTAAGTTAAATGAAATTGTTGGTTTACAAATTTTATACAGAATATTATAGTATTTACGAATATCATTTACCACTTCAACAAACTATGTCCCATTTAAATATTTCTCAATATTCACGACATTATTTTCAACAAGCTTAACACATAAAAGTTTTTTTAATAGTAATTATAACATTAATTTTATTACAGCTTGGCAAAAAAACTGAGACAATGATAAACAGCTACATTAATAAACGAGGTCTTTCAAACAGTTACGTATTTATTGTCAAACGCAGAGGCGATGGAGTTGAGAACTACACAACCCACGTTTGACTGGATAGATATGAAAGCCTCAAATAATATTATCAATAACTGTTAACAGTACTAACTCATACAAACAAGTGCTGGGAACATGGCAAAGATTATGTAGGTGGCCGTCTGGACCGCTTCACATGCGGGACGTATGTCGCCGCTAATTTAGACTAGCATTTTTATGCCTCTTGAGACCTATGGACCCGACAATGACACATAAGTTTAATGTATATAACTCGTACATAGGCCGCTTCAGCTAGTGCTCGAGTCCCTGGCCTGCAATGGCAAGTTATTTAATCAGACCTGGATAATTGAGAAAGTCTCATTAATGACAAGGTGTACACTAGTCATTACATTATTATAAGTTTCTGGTCCATAAAGGGACTAGGCCTTATTTAGAGGCAAAACATATAAATATTCACTTTTATGGCCCCGATCAATTCATACTTTATAGATATTCAACAGTCTATTTCGCTAATACAAAAAAGTTTCTATGATTGTCGTACAAAATCGATATATCACAAATCAATCCAATCGGCTATAGACTATTGCCTAGAAAAAAAAACTATACATTAATATATTAGTAATTCGAGATACATATGTCGCGAAGATATTTATTTCATTTTGAACAATTTAGAGGTGTATTTCAATTACAGATATATTATCAAACAATATCTAAGCGACATACATAGCTATATATAACATTTAAATCGGGTGAATCAAGCCCTCTACAAAAAAGTCGTAGTAAAACTAATCTACTTTACACTTATGTAGGAATATGTCAAAAGTTATCGACAAGAAATACACCTCGAGAAACGTGGTAATATAAAATAACATCTCATTTTAATAGCAGCTACTGAAGTTAAGTCGATGCATCTAACAATATGCAAGTTACTTAAACGTTAAACAAAAATTTTAATACTTTTACCGTCATAGGTCACAATTAATTATCCAAAACAAATCAATAAAGCCGCAATTTTCTTACGAACGCTATTAAAAGGAAACGTTACACGAAAACACAATCCATGCGCCTTGATACTGATGGCCCTGTGACGTCAGTAAGTACGGACGTTCAATAAGTACATAATACTTTCTCAAGACAAAAGTGAAAAGGTGCGTTATAGTCACAAACACAACACACGTCACGACAATTAAACTAAGGCAATCTGAATGTGGAGCGATGCTGGTTGACGACTTGGGAGAAACAGGCACAAATATTGAGTTAAATATCAACTTCACATCAAAAACTGAGAGGCAGAATTCCGAAGCCCGATCTCTCGAGTAGCTCAAATAGCAGGCATAAATTCATTTTTCACGCAAATCTGTCAACCATTTTTCAATAAAATCTAAACGCAAATAAATAACAAAAATAACGGAATAAGTTGTGTGATGTGGAAATTACCATGTTATTATGTCAAACAAATAAAAAATAAATACATAGTTAGTAATAGGTATATAGGCGTATTTTAATGAAAGTGACTTCTTGTTTTTGTAGAACAGATTTATGTATAAATCACACATATCATGAGTTGATTCATAAGAATGTCTTATGAAGACTAATTTTTAACGTGATTTAAACTTGTGTACGAGTATTGAAACTAGTATTTCTGACTTTCGTGCATAAATATTTTTATAAATGTTTACGCCCAAGATCATTTGCATCGGAATTTTATAGACAAAGTAATAATTCATTATCGAACATCATTATCAAACAAAATTTTTTTTTATTAATATTTTCTATCCAAAAAACAAGAAACACGAAATCGTTCACGTAAACAAGTGATACATAAAAGATTGTAAGTTCTTATTATCAGAAATACTGTAATTGTTTATCAGTCTAAGGGCATGTTTCAAATTTCTGTACAGCCACTACGTATCAGTTAAATTTGAATATAGAACTTTATTTGTATTGACTATGTGACACATTCGTTTTTTAGATACTTTAATAAAGTGGCGAAATAGGAGCTAAATGTTTAGGCTACCACCATAAAACAAATTCGTTGTGCGAAAAGACGCGGATTATTAAAAATCAAATACTCTAATTACAGTTATATCTGAATAATTATGCTTAGAGTTTGTAATACCGCTTATTTATCTACATTTTATTTAAACAAACGAAGCGGCATTCTTGCATGAATTAACTGAGAAAAGCTTAACTAGTGTTAAGACACAGCAAGATTTTTATACATGCGCAGCGAGCGACGCATTAACGTTGTACATTCAGCTCTCGCTGTAACTTGAAACTAGTAGAACTTTCCGCAATTGTTTCACAAGACTAAGGCGTTATTTTTAATAGATTTAGTACATCTCACACAAAATTAATTTCACAATTTAATTTGAAACGACAGTATACGTAGAAATAACGTTTTTGTGGAATCTCAAAGACAATACACTCAATAAGGGAACGGTAGACAAACTTAACATCAGGAACAATAATATTTCAAATATATAAATGTACAGTGAACACTACAGAATGACATTAATAAACAGCATGGACTGCTATAAAACATAAAAGCATAATATACAGATTTTGTACTGCAGTCATTGTCGTCTGTAAGTGATTCTATAGCTCGATAATCCGTTATTATAAATACTCGGCAATTGCCAACAGTTTTTTATCATTAAGTTATAACATTAAATTAAATGGCGATAAGATCATTAATAATTTATACTGGCTGTATTCTCGTAATATAATTATTATCTCATTTCATATCAAATTTTTAAATAACTTACATTCGTACATACATATAACTTTAGATAGCAGCAAAACAGTTTGGCGGATCGACTATACACATTCGTATCGGAAAGACTTGTGTTGTTCAATAATAGTATTCCCAAATAAAAAGACAACAAACAGTGTTTAGTTCAAGTGCCTATCAACATTGAATAAATAACACGAAATATATATGTATAAACCTTTGAAATAACAGACTAAAGAGCACGTCGGTCAGAGACGTGTTGCCGATCATAACTTGGCGTGCTATTCTATGTGATCGTAGGAGACACGCGAGGTGATGTTCACTTGGACAGTTTGCTGATCACCCGGATTAGGGCTCCGTTCTCGTCCTTCAGCCGCTGGTTTTCAGCTTGGAGCGTTTGTTGATACTGGAAATTTTATAAATGGTTCATCAATATTATGCGTATCACGTGAGCATTTAATGTCTGGGCGTTCATTGGACTTCAAACATCCATGTTTATTGAAATACAAAATAATATTTTGGCCATAACACGCAGACATCGTTACAAACACAGGTGAAAAAAACATCGGTACAACATGGGTTCTCACATCAAATCGTAAAATGGCACAGTGACATAAATTGATCACACGTGGGGAGCGACCATTGAACTGTGGGCCGCTAAATTACTTTAGTCACAATTTTGAAGATGTATCTTGTTATAAGATTGGGCGACAATCGACGCCGTCAAATGACACCCGCAACATCGAAGGGTTACAAATGCATTGCCGGCCTCATGGGGGTAAGAGTTTTGGAGATTTGAGGGATTTAAGAGAGGATAGGAAAATTTACACATCATATAAATATTTCTCCTAAGAAATCGGATTATAATAACTCTTGTACAATGTGTTGTACAGACGATGCGTTTAATGATATAACAGTTCGTTGTCATAAACGAATTAATCATCTATCACAACTTTTAATAACTTTTCCACACGAAAAAAACATTCCATTGTATGTAGTTTAAAGTCGTACGCATCGCATGTACATACATTTTGATAGGTATACAATGATATATTCAAAAGCGCTTGAAATTCCATTACCATAATTTAAATCAAATAGCAATATTTCGTTGCATTCACTTGATAATTAAAATTATATGAAACTAAATTGATCTTAACTTTTTTTGAATAAAATTAGATTTCTTTTTTCAAATACCTTTTTCTTTGTACCGTGCATTATGGGACTTCAAGCGTATTATTAATTACTTAAACACATTTAATAATATAAAAGCTATATCACATATTTACAAGTGCTCAAACACTGTGGGTGTTAGGGTCGTTCAAATCTTATGTAATCAAAGCTTTTTATTAGCTCAATGTCATGTCTTTCCTACTCATGATAGCCTAGTAGAAAATTCAAAAACACGGGTTTTAAATGGGATATTTTGAACACTGTTAATATAATACACACTACGTATGGGTATTGTTGACGAAAAGTTTACTTTAAAAGGTCCTAAGTGTCGGTGGTTGGAGGTAACTATTTTTTTTAATTGTCATATGGTATGGACACGTGTGGTATTACTGCAGTCTCTCTTATGATATTTAAAATGTTGTATGAGATATTATTACGTTCTCTGCATCACAAATCATGCAACACACGCTAGCCAACTATTTAAAAAACATTGTGTTTTATTCAGACTTCTAAAGTACAAAGAAATGCGTACTTACATATGTAAGGGAATAATATTAACCGGACTTTTCTAATACCTTACCTATTGATAGCAATTTTCTCAAATCGATTAGGATTTGTTCATTATTTTACTATTTTATTCATACTTAAAACACCTTACATTCTGATACTATGAAATGAAAAAAATAAACGTTCATTGGATAAAACTACAGACCAAACAAACACCAAAAAAATCACAACAAAGACCGTGCCTACTAAAAATTGACATTGACAATCACATAAAGGCAAAAATCTTTCAAACGTTTGCCTACATCTTATAAAACACAGTGTATTATTTACTGTAATATAATCTTACGATAACCTCTGATAAAACACAATGAATGAAGGCGCGTGCAATAACGCTTACGACACGCACATCAGACGCAAATGACACGCACACGTCAACGTATATTCAAAATGTGATAATGCAATTTGCAAATTGTCACATCACTTAAAATAAACAAGTTTTTCAAATATAGCTTCTAAAATGTCTAAAAAACTTACGAGGGTAAATTTAACGACAACATTTTAGTTTCAAAACCTTTTACTAACTACAATTATTCACAATCAACATAAGAATTTTCCTATACACAGATATATCGCCATGGTACTTTTTAGTAATACGTTGATTGCACAAAATAGACTTTGTTGCTTTGTGTCTATAACTATATTTCTTTGGCTGAACATCAAGATCTATATGGTATTGGCAAATGCCGTCTTATTCGGCAGTTTACGTTGCGTGTACGCCTCGGATACGTCGAGAGTATGGACACAATGCACGCGCTAAGTCCGGCACGCAAGTTAGACATGTACCAAAGCATGCTCGCCATAACACACTGTTAATCATCGTGGGGCGGGGCTCGACAAATACTGCGACGCTGCGCGACTGTTCTCTCGCTATAATGTCGTCTCGCTCACACGCTTCGTTTGTGAGTGGTGTTTAATGATGATGATGATCACTTTATTCGGTGACTTCATACACACTCGAAAATATTAACTTCATTAACAGTTTACTAGGTGTTACTTTTCAAAAGCTATTAATATATTTAAACTCAACTGAAGCTTGCGAAATTGTTTTCAAGTTAGTTTAACGAAAATCTATGTTATAATTATTTTATCAAGCTTCACTTAACCCTCAATACTTTTCATATTTTTAAGGAGCAAATAACTATTTTCTTGCACACCATTTAATTACATTTTTGGTACGCGAGTTTCGTTAAAAAAGCCAAACATTGCGTGAAATGTAAACGAAAAAAACTTGAAAATGTCACTCTTCTGCAAGTTAGATCAAACACGTTCTCATTTTACCTGAATAAAAAGTTAAAAAGCGTGCCAAAAAGCGTTTGTTTTTTATATAAATCGCTTATGTCACATATATTATTATATTGATAAAGTTCATGCGATGCCGCTTGTCAGCTGGCGGTGGTAAAAAGAGGGCGTGTGAGATAGCCTAGCAAAATATCAACAGTGTTTGTGTGTGAGAAAATGTGAACTTCAACGTGTAAGCGAGAGCGACGATCGGTTTAGTTCGGCGCAAGCCGCACGGTGTCGCCACTGAGCTGGACGCTCAATTAATGTACACATTTACCTATTTGGCGGCAGAGTTGGTCAATTTGCTCACGACCCGCGTAAGGGCACGATTCTCAGCCCTCAGCCTTTCGTTCTCGGCTTTTAGTTTTTGCAATTGCTATAAAACGAACACCAACATGTCAATTTTATTATTATCTCTCTTGGCGGCAGGTGCTATCTTGATGTCCGCCATATTGGTTTAGATCCAAACATGTCAAGCTGACGGTTACACTATATCTTGTATCAAATGATGCTTGCAGATATATATAATGTGTTGTGTATGTGTCCGCTACAGTTCTGCTCACGTATATATATATACTATATATAATACAAAAGTGGTAGATGATAAAGTTACCTTTAATTCTTCCTCCATTTCTGATAATTTCCTCTCCATAGCCCTCTTTTCTCGTTTCTCGATTTCAGACAATGAATTCTGGTTCTGTAAATAAAGAAAACATAATTTTCCAAAGCTGTTTAGCTGTAGGTACTTACTACGTTTTAAAATAAGGTATACAAACAAATTTATTTGATACACCAAATAAAGAATTAAAATATGATGAAACAAACACATAAACATAACAAATCGCAGAAGTATATTAAATAATAAAAGTCGCCGAGCAAATAAACATCAAATTTCGCTATGCATTTATAGCATATGCTGCCATAAATATAAAATGCTAAGGTTGGTAGCTCGCGCCAATCTGTCAGCTGTCTATGCAAATAATTAGTGTTGTAACTGTGGGCGGGAATTAGTCAAAACATTGAAAATAGTCGAGACTCGAGCTAATTACGAAACGTCACGAAAAACACGTAGTCACGGTGAAGGTGAGTCTCACGTTTGTAATATTAATAGATTTATATGGAGACTGCTAAGTTTAGAGGGTAACCCTTGTTGGATACTTGGTAATAATTTATATTAGTGTCTGTAGAATAATCTTTCGAAAAAGAGGATATATTACTATTATGATCATTATTAACAATATATAATTTAAATATAGAATCTAGCATTGTGTTCATAAAAAAAATTAAGAGTCATCTTCCTTGTCCTTTTGTATATACATTTGATACAAAAGCCCACCATTTTTTATTTATCGTAATATAACTAAGCCGGTATCTGCCTAAGAACACGTAACGCATCGTCAATTTTGATATAAGTTAAACAATAAAAGATATACGACCCGATGCTTCGGAACATGTTAAAAATAAATTCATCATCTAAATAAATTGCACACAGAATAAACTTGTTTAACATTTGCAAAGGCAAAAATATACAAATGTGAGCCACATTCTAAACATTGCATTGAAATAGTAAGTACTTACAATTTAATAATATATAGCTTTACACATTGGGTTTCATGGTCGGTTATTACGCAACTTAGAATTTAAGAACTAGGTGTTATTTATTTCTCGCTTTTTCGCGATTTTGAGACTCGTATAATTCAATAAAACTTTATCCAAATGGCCAGTGACAGAAGCTCAGACGTCATCAAAAAGACAATAGGATCATTGAAACAAAAAAGGAAGGAAATAATTTTAGCACTTGATTTTATCGGATGCTTGAGGTGTAGATGAATATTAATATAACACGCTACGCATAGCAGTAGACTTTTACTCCTGAAGTTAGCTTCATTGGCAACCTAGTAGACAACATGATGATACTATACCTAAAACTTTTATCATAATTTCTGGCATTTATTATTTTCTATTAAGTTTTGTCTGAAATAGCTGTAAGGCGTAATAACTTATGCATAGTAATGAATAAAAAACGGACAATTTGGTTTAAATATGCACGCAACTACAAACACAGGCATACTAAAGTAATTCGTACCACTTGAGTGAGCCTTGTGATAGTCGCGCGAGCCTCGCGCAACTGTTGCTCGGAGGTGGCGAGCAAGGCGCGCAAGCGGCGCACTTCGCTCTGAGACGCCTCGTACAGCGCCTTGTAGTCCTTGTCCTCGCTCTCCTCAGTGCGTTCGCTGCCAGACTGAAATGATACAGAACATTAATTAATACATTATTGAAGGAATATTTGGGCGTTCTCGTATCGACGACCAGATGAATTGTCAGTACATTTTCAACTAGCATGTAACTAGATGTGTAATAGAACCAAGATCAAAGATAAAAATTTGAAGAACCTGTGACCTAACCGATGTCTTTAGGCTTTCTTTTGTCTAACAATAAAGTTTTCAGGCTGATGGTGATGTAACTACCCGTAGTTATTTATTTCGTGTAACTAAACTGAAACTCATTATTTAACTAAAGAAGATGATCTACACATACATTACGTTTTAGTTTCTAGCCCCTATAGATATAAACAATGTCTTAACACGATCGATCAACAGAGGTCGATTATTAAGTAATCGATTCAATTCATCAATCACGCATTCACATGGAAGTCATCATAAGATCCATGGCTGAATAGCCATGATGGTCCTCTAACATGAAATTTAGCAAATCTACCACGACGAGTCCTGCTTACTATTGTTAATTTGAATGGTTATCTTATCTCATTACTCTTATTATAAGTAAATGTTTCATGTCAATATTGCATGAAGTTACATTTTTCATTATAAAATAAAATAAAAAACCGCAATTATATAAAAAAGTGTAAAAATTGTGCCAGACTATATCAGGAGCATGGAACATGATAACGATGATAACGGTGGTTAGGGCTCCGAAGACAGAAACTTTCTTACAACGCGGTCTGTTTCAAGGAAAACATAATAATATCAGGCCTTGACCCATCCGCCTAGCGCCAGTCTCATAGGATGGTTATCAAGGCTTGTCGGGACTACCCCTTTGGCGGACACAACTATTATACAATAATAGCTCAACCAACACATCACACGTGAGCCAAGTCAAGATATGTTATTCATTCTCCCTTTTTCTAGGTTTCCAATGACATTTCCCAGTTCACAGACATTCGGTAAACATGTTACAATTTTAGGCTTAGGGAACTAGCTGATTTAAACAGCAGGTACGTAATTGAGTCAACCTGATGTTATGTATTGAGGCAACGATCCAGCATCCAATGCCGCCTGAAAATGCGACGTTAAGTAAATATGTGAACCATTAAAACATTTCATGAATAATCCCGACCGTCGCTTTCCAGTCAATTTAATTTTTTTTTTTTATTTATTTAAATATCCCTATTTTTTGTTTTATTTTTTGTTTGTTTTATTTTTTATTTTGGAACCGAACAGACTGCCCTGAACACATCATAGAAGGTTATTGTCCTTTATATACTCCTTCATTTCTGGCACAGTATCACACCTTTACTCAACATCACACATTCAGTCAGCCTACGTGTGGTCAACAGGCAGATGTTGCGCCAAGTGGTATCATCATTCGGTCGCCGTCGGTCAACCACATCTTGATTGGATCATACCCAATCTCTGGTACATAAGGTTCTGAGTATAGGTCTTTGCCCGCTAGATAGAGTGTCCGTTTCAGGAAGAAGATGCGACAGTTGCACACGTCAAGTATTCGTAGTTTCAGTCCCGACAAATGAATGCCTTAAAAGGTGCATAAATGCAAGAATAGCCCTCCCTGAAGTAGTGTTATGCCAATGATAGCAGACTGACCTCACTGATACGATGTTCAATCCTACCCTGCCAGTAAGATATGGCTGGTTGCGTCAGAGATCAGACAAACAAAAAAAACTATTATTATTTTTTAAAATCTGTTCATAATAATGATTGTGTTAAATGGAAGAACGAGATTTTGAATGGAAGTAAACAACGTTATTTCAATATAATGGTGCTGCTGACTAACAGAACAATTGCGAATTATAATGACATCTCGTCATATCTTTTATTCCTATTGAATAGGCAGAGATGGTAAAAGTAAAGGTCAGTTTGTTTTATCCGTAAACAAATATCAACGTAACAAAACAAAACTAGAAAGAAAACAGGCGCCGTTTTATGGATAACAAATAGTTAGAAAAACTAACCTTCTATAAATAGATGCGTTGAACTAACACAGAAGCTGTAAAAACTATGCGTTTGTTCGCGGGAATCCAGATACTTTCTACTTTGATAGAACAATGAGGAAATTCATGCATAACTTCCCAAAAAAGATAACAACATCTCTCTCATATGAGATATATTTTCTCTGAGACACTGTTACTTTGTTTGTCGGTTCCCACGAAGAGTACATTAATGTACCTAAGCAGGTACTTTCTTACTACCTATATACATCATTTAAAAGTATACCGTCAAACATCAGAGAGAATCCTCGAAAGTATATGTGTACCTACCTATATTGTACAGATATACACATAAAATAATTAAAAGAAACTTCCTTGGTCATTAATACAGTAGTCTGCAATAAATATTTTAACATCATTTAGAAAATAGTGTAACTTGTATCGAACATTTTCATTTGAAATTTTCGGTTACCATTATTATAATGAACAGAAGTCCCATTTCATATTATTATGTTTTTGTTACGTTTTTCTCTATATAATTTAAAATGCATTATACATGTGACGACGTATTTTTATATAGGTAAACATCTATCAATAAATTAGATATTAAAATACCCTAATACCAGAAAACCTAATATCAGAAAGATCTTTTACACCAACACAAGTTAACTCTAACATTTCTTTTGTTTTCTTTCTTTCTTTTCTAAGTGACATGACACGGCATGACACAAATATAAGATGTTTGAACCCAGAATTCAATAAAATTATAGTATTTCAATGAATTATTTTTTCTTTATATGGTATATAGTTACTTGTAATAAAATGATTTTTTATAGTTGTTACAATTTTTACCTATAAAATTACAAGTTACTTGTTTTAATTTTTCCTATAAAATACTGATCTAGGTGTCATCGATACGAGGTACAAGGAGAACACAGTTTAATATGTTTGAAATACATAAAAAACACATATAAAATAAATATGCTTCATGTTTTTGTCAATAATTCCCAAAAACGTATTAATCAGCAAATAAAATAAAGACCGAAAAAAATAACCGATCGTGTCTGTGTATTATAACAAAAAAACCAATAGAGCTAATGTCATGAATTAAAAGTTACGTATGAAATCGGTTATTAATTTAGGCCGATAGTAGCACTTAAGGAAGAGTACTACACTATTATTTTTCAAGTAAGTTAGATATTACGTACACAGTATCCATCTGAAGCAAGAGAGTTTAAGCTGAGAGATCGAGAGCCAAGCGCTCCTGAGGTCTCCAGAGAGCTGAGCGAGCGAGATCGTTCTTTATCCAAGTTACCGGCTTTATTCGCGCGGTTCTTGCGCTGCGGCCGTACTGGCGGCACATCATCGACCTCCGGCGCCGGCAGAACAACCGGCGCATCCACTGGCACGTCCGTGGGCTCCTGAACCTTCGCCAATGGCACAGGCTTCGGTTTAAAGTCTTTTTTGCTCGCCAGCAACCTTTTGTCCAACTTTTTTAAGACAGGAGTCATTAAATTCAATGATCCCAATGTAGCACCGCTTAAGTACACGCCCCCGTACCCGGAACTAGTACCACCGTATATACCAAGATTAGACGACGGCCGCCCTAAGCCCGCACTATAAGGGTTATAGTTCCTGTACGCGCTAGAACTGTAATTGGAATAATTGTTTGAATAAGGACTGTACTGACTACCGAGCATCGTCCCCAGCATGCTAGGAGACGAGCTATAATGCGAAGAAAGGTTTCGCGGCCTGGAAGTATATCTATCTTGTTTACGACTCATTTTGTACACATTTCACTACAGCCGTATGGTTAAACAGTTGGCGGGCGAACGCCGCGCGCTACGTAAACACACTGACCGTCTCCCGTTTTATTCTACGCGATGTGAAAATATTGTGCTCTCGCGTCGCGGGCGGTAGGATCGCGCGTATGTGACGCTGGTGACGCACTGACATGTTCAGACGAGAGGGCGATATCCACCGGACACGTGAGACAGACCATCACCTGTAAATATAACGGCGCGCCGCATCAGCGTAGCGTAGGGATCGCCGGCCAGTGGCGCGTGCCCCGAACCCGCCGCCGCAAGGACGTCGTAACGCAAATAGAGATTACAGCCCTCTATTATTGTCGGAGACGCCTCATCAATCAGTCGACAGTTTACTTCATAATTAGTGCGCTGATCGAAGGCCAGCCGCGGCCAACGCGTGCCTCCGCCCTGATCGGTATCGGCACAGGTACACAACGCGCACGCTAAAAATAAGCCCGCACCTCCTATAAACATTGTATGTTACAGCAACCACAAATAAGCTATGCAGATGTAGAGAAGTAAGTGCATCGTAAACTGTATACATACACGGCTGTTTCTAACTGTATAAATACGACGCCATCGAAACGCTAATTTATGAAACACGCATTATAGTTCCTTGTCTTCGTATTTTACTAACTAACTATATATAAAATCTATTTTCAAGTTTACGCGTCTCGGATTCCGACAGCGATGACCCAAATACTATCTTGTTGGGAACTATCAAAACATTTGACTAAAATGCTGACTCTCGCTTCTCTCAAAACCACAGCACATTCCAGATATAAACGGCAGGAACGATGTTGTGCACAAGTTTAAAAAAATCAGAGAAACGCCGCAATAATGTGGCTAATTCATTAAGATGGTGGCCTGCTTCTATTTCTCAAGACGACGTGCCTAAATCGTTTTTCAAAATTTCATAATGTACACTAAAATATATTTCGAAATTGTCTAGGGAAACTCGGTCGCTAACTTCGCGTCCCACGTGGGCGACAGACGCTACGCGAACGACACGATGTCTGTCCTACATTATGGACATTGACAAAGTAGTTATAAATTGTTCGTGAACCACAAAATTAGCGTTTTAGCACTTGGCTAATGAAAACGTTATAAAATGACACTGCAAGTATATCTCAGATTAAACTAAGAAGAAAATTAAAGGGTCAAGGGTATGTCTTACACGCAATCTAGCTTTTATTTTTGTTTTATGAGCGTCTAGATCTGTAGCGCTTCCTGTAGTGTCGCGTCAAAAATAAAAACATATTTTATTTAAAAAAATCTAAGAACAGTTCTTCTAACATGAAATTTAATGATTAATATATCCCGTGGATCCAACATTTATAATGTATTGCGTCGCATCACTGTGATGTGATAGTTCAAACCGCCCACGAAGAGCAGTTGATATTACATATTTTAATAATGTTAGAGGCGGGTACATTGTGGACGGGTTAGCGACGTCACCGGCCATGTGTGCTGAGGAGCTGGCGTCACGGACGGATACGCTAAAAATAATAAGGCTCCAGTACACCGTTCAGCAGTAACCACGGTGATAAATACCAGATTTATGACTACAAAATATTGATTACATATTGCATACAAGCTCTGGCAAGAGAACTTCTGACTAATGAACAGTTGAGTACGTAATTTGTAGTTGACAGACTACTCGCTTAATCTAACACTAAAGGGGGAACTCTCGTTACGTCTGATGCCTGTGCACAATCACTGTGTTACATTTCTCTATACAAAAACTAGTAAACAATCACTCATTTCCCACAGTTTCAACATATCGTATAAACCTAGCTTTTTAACTACTTAGCGAACTTTTCATCGATTAAGACTTAAATTTAAAATTTTTGAAATAAAATTATGGAATAAATTGGCATGCATTACGTAAACATTTTAATCAAAACTATGATAAAGAGCCAACTTCCTTGATGCTTTAGGAATATGTCATGAAAATGTTTTACTATGAAACAATAAAATAACGCCCTAAAAGTAGCCCATTGCTAGAAGAGCATGAGTACTGCTACGCAATTGCCTGTGAAAAACTTATGAAGCACTGGTGACAAACGTTTTAAAAGATAATGTCATTTGAATCCTAACTAATTAAGTAGATACATTATACGAAACACAAATTCAATAAGCTCATTAAGACAACTCAATAAATGACAAAATACGTAAAACAGAAGACAAATAAATAAATAAAATGTTTACAAAATCACGAAACGCAGTTGAGTAGTGACCACTCAAACGCAATTTATGTGTCGTTCATAGAAACGTTGGAATTATGCCAATATTTTCCACGCTGACCACAAAAAACAGGGTATTTATTGTAGACCTAGACATACGATGATATATACTTTTTTCGTACTTGAAATTAATTTCCTCTACGACGAAACGTTAACGCATAGACAAAAATCGCTTACTCTGTAGGTACGTCTGTACTACTTTATAAAAAAATGTTATTACTCTTTTCCACAAGTCAGGCCTTTCGTCGATTGATAATTTGGTTTGCGATCAACAAAATATAAAATGTTAGTTATGAATAAAATTAGTCAAAATCGATTGTCGATCAATACTTGAACTCAACAAATATTTTTAATATATTGATATCAGTATGTCCATTCTATTTATTTTATTACGGTTTATAATAATGATTTTTCAAAGATAAGTAAATATTCCTAAAGGCAGAATTTATTTCACCGCACTTCTCAAAGATTACGGAACTTCTAATAACGAACTGAAAATCACAACAATGTTTAAAAATACACGCGCGGTTTCGTAAGTTGTTACGTTAAATATACGCTTCTTATAACACGCTTCTTTAAGATCAAACAAATATTTTAAACACTTTCTCTACTAACTAAATATACAGAGCCATAATATTTCCTTTGTCACTGAACTAAAGTAGCGGACTGTCGTCAAAACAAGCGCACTTATCGCAGATCACTAAAAGATATCAATAAGAAGCAGCTCATTCTGAAAATCGGCAGAGTAATCTATCACCTGAAGACGGTGTCACCAAGATATAGCGACAAGCTGTCGAGTTATCTCAACAAAGATGTTTTTATCACGAATTCTCAAATTAGAACCGAGAAATGAGACCATTGATCTGGTAAACAATTTCTTTTCTTTTTGCTACTTTATGGCGGTATTTTATTTAGATCGATCCCATGTGCCAGAAACACTTTCACGGGTTACTTAAAAAACCTAAACTTCGATGTTGGTTAAAATCGAACCAGAAGGAATTATTTACCTTTTTAAACAGATGTTAAGAGCAACATTCACACTTCGTTGGTGCACATGTACATAATGTGTTGAACATGACGTTTACTATTAGGAAATTGGCTAAATGACAGTTAATGCATCTGTTAAACTACATAGTCTAGGGACATGGAAAATCCCCGAAGCACTCTCGTAAATCTCAAGGAGATATAAACCATTAGGAGCCCTTGACGCACGAACCTTTCACCACCGTCACGGCAAATACATTTTGTAGAAAACACACGTCTAGAGTGTGTGACGTTGGGGATGAGTTGCCAAAACAAATCCCTTTTGAGATGGTCGTATTTCATCGACCTTGCACATGTGCTCGTGGACACGATGTCACTCACAACATTAGCATGTGAATCATATGAGCAGCGCATTTACAGAGAACCGGTAGCAAGAGCATTTTTCACTAGTTCATCATCGCAGTCATCATTCTAAACAATACAAAAAACTTTTTCTTTCTTTTACGTTTTACAAAAATGTATCTTAACAACTTATTTATAATTTTCAACCGAATAAAATCTTGATTTATATAGCTTTCAGAGTCAATCACACGATTGTTACTTTTCTGCCTACCCTTATACCAAAATCCAAATCCATCGCACATCAACGTTATTTTTCGCACTGCTCTTACATACATATACATAGCGTTACCTCATTGTCGGCTGTTTTTGTACCCACTACCTGCAATTCCTATTCCATGCCCACAAACAATACAACAAATAATGCAAAATGTGATTTCACAATCCATGCCACATTAACTTTGTAACGTTTTCCATTTACACCCTATTAAATTTAATCTTCGAAAAGCAAAGCTTGACTTCGTTTTCCTAAAAATGAAAACATTTTAACTAAGCATGAAGGCAAAATAATATAGTTTGTTGGAATGCAGAAAATGAAACTTTTGTAATATTCAGATCACATAAAAGTGAAAAACTGGATATTGAGAACGATGAAATGGGAATTGAGAACAGTGACGAGAACTTTGTTTACAACCGAATATTCTCCGCGATGATTTTGTGTATTTATATACTGCTAACGCCTTCATTTCCCGTTAAAATACCTTGAAGGCAACCAACGCATATGTATGATATATAATATGCATGGAATAAATTATACAATGCGCCATTTTTATTTAAAAGTACCTCTTAGAACGAAAAATGGAAGACTCAAGCGTCTTGCTTAAGTATTATCAAAATTATATCACATACTTATCGAAATATGTTTGACATGATTATCAAGACTATGAGGTAATCTATACAAATACAGGAGAATTCTGACGCAAAAAGTAGTAATCATCATCAGCCAACAAGGGCTACAGATGCATACTTAGGCTTGCTATCATCACGCCCACAACAAGTCTTCTTAAGGCAGTTAGTTTGGCTATTTAAAACTTATAATTAGTAATTATAAAGCGCAGGTTTTCATCACAAAGTTCTCTTTGCTCCATATGTCAGAACGGGATTGCGGGTTAAGCGCAATAAGACACCAGAGCAGAGACAGGGTGGTTTTAAGTAAGTAAGAGTCTGACACTCTCTCTCGCCTAATAATGAGCGTGAGAGATCATTGGATGATTTTCCCCTCACAAAAAAAGTACACATTGGTGCTTGCCGGGCTACGGGTCCGCACTTTATGCATGTAATGAGACGACTAAACGTCGAAACTGCCCTGTCCTTCAATAAATAAATTATATGCATAAACCTTTTAAATGACACAATAGGCTAAAATAATAACAATATCAAAATAAATTTGTACAAGAAATTCCTGCAGTGTCTTTTAAACACGATAATTATCTCGTGTAATGTCGTAGAAAGAAATCAGTGTCAAAAGTAAAATTACTTTGTTAATTATTTTCTAGTAATGTCAAAACAAGGAAATCAGTGGTCGGATGACGTAATTTATTAGCAACATTATCACATGACTAGACCAGACGATTAATAAGCTGAACCATGTACACACTTGGAACCAAAACAGTTGTTATTAGTATTTGAAGTAATTAATATTGTATCATATTCAGATATTACTAAAATTTTATAACACTAATTCATTTGAGATGTATATAATTGCAACCAAAGAGAAGATTATTTAATTAACATAAATTATGTTCGGCAGTATCTTTAAAGTTTTTATAATATTTAATGTTATGACTATACCTATACATATATATTCGTTGTAGTCCACTTTCAGCCCCTCAGCTGTCAATAAAATATGTGTCCATTAGGTCCCTAATTATAGTTCATTTTCGTCCACTACAGACTGAATTTTATTTTGCACCCAAATTTTTGCTCTTTTAGACACTCAGATTAGAGTCATTATGATTTATCATGTAGTAATAGTAAACCTTTTCTTTGCACTTAATCTTACTTTTAGGCGTTGACTTTGAGTTACATTTTCAAAGTTTCGATTGAACGCATCAATCAAACTTACTAATAAAATATTGAAATTTGAAAATTATTCCGACATCTTTATGAAAATAATGAATATATTTTGAAGCAAGTAATGAACGTTTTATTTTTACATCATATATTTGTATGTGGATCCGAAAATTTTAGAACTTAATACATATTTGTAATCTGAGCAACACGTCGGCGGTAATTTACGTACAGCTATTATGAGCTATTACAAATAATCCTGGATCAAAGGACTGGTGCAGAGAAAAGCTTTTATAATTGCGCAGTTAATGTTTCTTGAAAGAGAGCTATTTATTTTTATCTACCACTGCACCTATTCGCAAAGGATCAAAGAAACCAATCGAAATGTACCTGCTATGATGAAAAACCACATTATACACATGGCAACAGAAATAGGATACGCGTTGTTACATGCATAAGATTTATTTCGGTGACAGAGAAAACTGTATTTTTTATAGATTTGGCATAATAAAATGGCGTGTAAAAATAGTCCCGCTCGAATTTAAACGATCGATATAAATCATATGGACCAGCTGAGTTCATAGCATTTGACGAATACGAGTTACGATATAACAGCCAGAAATACATCGCACCCATTGTTTCGGTGACGTCAACCAGCGAGGTGAACGCCGCTAAAATGACGGCATGGGATACTACAGAATATAATATTTTCTGTTTCTTTAAAAAACATATTAGCGATCTCTTATCGATTTTCTTTTACAACAATATTGTATCTTTTCTGTAACAAATTTCGATTGGTCACAATTTTACTTTGCTATACAATATGTAATTCAATAAATATTCTCAGACTGTTCATTCTGCGAGCTTTGTTCCAAGTGGTACATTATTTGAGACAGTGTTCCTGACCGAATATATTAGTCAGAAGCTTAGAATTGACTCATGATTTATTTCAAGAAATTGTTTCCGTCGCGAAGAACAGAAGTACGGCGCAACACGGCCCATTGAGAGATCGACTGTGCTATGTATAACGTTTTCGACGAGTTCTCACTCAACGCAACATTTTAGGACACCCTCAGCTAAATACAAAACTAACAGGTGTCAGTAAACTATAATGAGTGTCACGGGGCGTCGCGGCCCAATGACACAATGACGCGGTAATTGCAAACAAGAAAATAATTAGTGCATCTCAACGCAATGACTTATTCATTTCATGACCTTAGAATTAAGACTATCGAAGATTAATGTTAATGTTCATAAACACTTTTACAAATGACTTTCATTAGATGATGTATTTTTGTCTGACGTGTATCTGTAGAAAGATTGTTGAATGTTGACAAAGATTACATTCTAAAAACAAAAAAGCAACATTATTCCAATTGGAGGCTAATTCCCATATGGAAACAAAGTTCTAAAGTGCTATTTGTAACTATTTGTAAAACAGAGCAGCTTTCTAATATTACGTAGTCATAGTTTTTTTCAGTAACAACCTGTTTCTTTTGCCTGCTAAATACGTCATCAACAGGTGCCCTAACTGTCTCGCGGTCAAATGACCCAATAAATAACAATACGCGATCATTGCGTAGCGTAGACTAACGTAATTAGTAAGGATTAGCGCGTTACGAAAGTAGTCGGGAGCCAAGATCCGTAGGAACAAAACATTAACATGTAATTATAACGTCTAATTGATGATTTATACTGAGAAAATAACTGTGAATATTTCTTGACTAGCTTCTGTCGCGCGGTTTCACTCGCTGCTCGGCTCCTACAAATTGGAGCGTGGTGTTTTAGAGCCTAAACCCTTCCTCCATAAATGTACTAACAAACACAAAAATAATTATTCAATTCGAACCAGTAGTTCTGGAGATAAGCACGTTCAAACAAACTCTCCAGCTTTATTATACTAACCTATATATACTAATATTATAAAGAGTATTTGTATGTAGGGGGTACCTAATCTTTGGAACCGCTGGTCAGATTGCGAAAATTCTTTCACTGATAGATAGCTACAATGTTCCTGAGTGCTATAGGCTATAAAACATCACGCTACAATTAAATGGTGCCTAGCAGCGGGTGAAACCGCGCGAGAGTAGCTAGTAATATATAGTAAGATAGATAAAGCGCGTACTATTTCTGTATAAATATAAATTAGCTCAAGAATTACCAATTTCAACAGAGCCACTACTTAAAATTGGTACAAATCTGAATATCCAGATTTATTTAAACTTGCTCATAAACAGGCATAAATAGGTTAAGGAGTTTACAAGCTGAGAGGTATATAAATCCGGATAAAATATTCATAATAATATGACAAATCCAATGAAATATTGTGAGCAACAAAGTCATAATTTCACTCGTCCCCTTTTAGTGTTGGCAGGCAACTCAGGTGATTGTAAAAAATCTACATCCATTACTCGTCTACGCCATAAAACTAATTAAGATATGGAAATAAGACGTCAATAATTATGAAGAGGCATACATAAAAAAAAACTTTAAATTTTCCAGTAAAATGCATATAATACTAACAACTTCGACTAAAGAAGGTAATCTGTTAAAAAAATGTGTCTACATTTATCACGTTGACAATTCGTCACCGGTCAACGAAACATGTATATTTTTGTTTCACATAATTTATTCCAAGACCGACATCTACGAGTACAATTGAAATTTAGAACAGTCTTTAACTGCACCTCCTCTCATTCATAAAAAATGGTGTCAAAATATGAAAAATAGTTTCGGTGAAAGAATAGCTAATATTTGTAGGATACTCTGTCAGTCAACTTCATTTATTAGCAACCTACAAAAAGATGTGACGTATTCTTAGAAAGTTTGTGTAAAGTAGTAGGTATATTAAACAACCTGAATACACAGAATGGTACTGCAGTACTTTCACGTCTCAAATGAAACATTTCGTATCCAAACAAGACGAGATTAGTCCAAGGATAATAAAATTAATAACTGCTGACTAACAGGACTCATTTAAATAAATTGCCGTACGTGTCCAAACGTAGCTATATCCAAGTTTCTCATGACGCATAATGACGAACGTGTTCATATATAATGACTATTTTCGTTCATTACGTGGGTTTCATCTATGGCGAACTGTGTTTTGATTAAGATTTAAGAATCAGTGTTTTAAGAACATTTAATTTCGAAAGTAAGCTACATTATATATACGAAATTAGTAATGGTAGAGATGAAATACCCCCCTATTCCCCTTCTATTTATAAAAACAATGTGGTTTTCAGAGGAAAGAGTATTACTTAAATTATTTCCATCATTTTATTTATCAACAAAGTTTCGAAACGGTGTTAATATAGCGAACACATCGATATCGACCTACTATGGCGCTATCGTCACTTCACTATAAATAACATAACATTTCGAGCGATTCCACCCACACCACACCACGAGTACCACACCACTGGCTAAACAAAGATTTTACACAAACGTCTTACATTTTCACATACATAGACACACACACATAATTCTTCACGCATAACTAACTAATGTGACCCTCTCAAATGAAAAATATTTACTAGTCTCAACATGGCATTTTCTTCTCATATAGTATATGATATGATAGGTTCATTATCTTTATGTATCCTATCTCAAATTACTTGGCTCATAAGGATTTCTTCTTCTTTCATTCTCTCATATTACGTATGTATCACTTTTTGATACATTTTAAATTCTTTCTCATAATCTATCCATATAACATAGTAACTTTTACAATAATATATTTCAATAAAGTTTTACTAGCAAAATGACATACTAAACTTAAGGTGCTTCCAGATTTGCACCGCTCGCACACAGCAGCTTGCGCTGCAATGAACTTTCGTGTTTCGATAAAACGCACGTGCGGATTACGAGCTACGCATTTGACGTGGACATTACATACCAAATATCCTTCATAATTCTATTCCATTAATGAATATGTTAACTTAAATTATTTGATACAATAATGTATTCTTTGCAATTTACTTATGTAGAATTATAAAGCAGTAACTTACCGCTGGCGCCTCGTTATCCGCATCGCAGCCCTCGCCGCCTCCGCCGCGGTCATTCACAATATCCTGGGAATAGACAATCAATGTTAATAAACAAAAATTATGGTTCTATTATAAATTACAAAATATCTACTATTAATAACACGTAACTAATTTTAAATAATGAAAGTTTTCATGATGGTTAGACCCTCACTTGTAAGCACTCACAGACAAACCATTTTGTAACGAGTTATCAAATTGCACATAAACATAAATTAGTTGCGAAGTCGTCTCAACAAATTAGGGTCCGATGCGACAATGATTGATGATGTTACAATATCTAGAGAATCAGAAATCAATAACTTACATGAAATCCCAATTATGCCTGAGAATGTATCTGTTACTTAATGTTTCCGAACATACAAAGCTGACATTGACCACCAAAGACATGCTGACCATTGAACACTGACCATACGACACGGATTTTCTGCGACAAGAACTAAACCTCATTTTCATTTCATAAAACATATAACAAAGCTGATCGTTAACATTAACTATCAATAGGCTCGCACAATAACAGTTCGTTCTCTGAGTCATCCAACAAATAGGCCACAGTGCGCGTGACATTTTACAAAGCCATGTATTGTAATGTGAAGTGTGAACTATCGTAGATGTCATCAACTTCATAACATATATTCCTAGTGACTTGATAATACACTTGCAACAGGATCTATGAGTAACTATTTTATTACTGTACAAATAGTGAAACACTAAAACTATCGAATAGTTGAAAAGCGAACAGCAGATCAGGCCCCGGTATGATCATCAAAGCGTGGTTTATTGATGTACCATGTGGAAATCTAGGAAATTCAACGTTCCGGGGTTCACCCTTTACTAAAATGTATTGGTGCAATATCTGGAATCAACAACGAGTTCGCTTGACTTCTTAAACTAATGACGATGATGAATATGACAATGATATGGTATAATGAATACAAATCACTAAATGATATTTTGATACGTCAAATCAAGGCGACCCCGTATTGCAGGGGCGTTTACCGATGTCATAATTGAAAGCTGATAAAATTTTCTCTTTTAAAATATATCGGGGAAAACCAGCTGCTGTCGCAGTAGTTTTCTTTCAACGTAAGTGTGTACTTACGGTGAAGGAAAACTCGTGGGGCTGCTATAAATAGCCTGAAATCTCCAAGAGTTTATGAACACCTTTCATAATCCTTTCTGCAAGATGAAACCTACAATGAAACAGAAACATGCTGGTACAGTCCAGACCATAGGCAGGTGCGTTGAGTGAAATACAATTATTTATAAATATATTCCATTAATCTAATATCAAATGCTTTTATGACTGGAAAATAGGTAACACATATTTACTCTGAAGAACATAACATAATAACAATCACATAAGAGTAGAGTAGGTGGGAGCTTTAAGAATAGTAACATAAAAATACAAGAGGTGTTTGATAGATTCAGTTGTATCTCTGCGGAGGTCCATTATTGCGGCATACAATCTATTTACTTCGACACAAGAGTAATGATGGCAAGCTTGAAAATTACCCGCCGCGGGGCAGGCCTTCTGATATATGTACATAGCGGTAATCTCTTGAAGCTGTTACGAAAAAGGAGTAGGTCTACAACAATCACAGAATGTTGTTATAAAATTATTTAGATTATTTTTAAACCTCTGTGCACGTACATATATTTGCCGAGGAGCGGGTGGTGCATAGGTTAGATAAATAACTCGCCGTCATTTGTGTTAAGGTAGCTAGAACTGTCGGTTTTACTAAAAAATACCGTAACACTACTAATTAAAATATTAAAAACTAATACGGACATTATTCTATTATAATTTCTTAATCACTGAATGCACATCCGCATTTAGCTGGAATAGGAATCTATTTGTACATGTAATTAGACAATCAATCAACCTCAGGGCATAACTGCCTTAAAAATTTTGAGTACTGAAAGTTATGTTGTACAATAAAGCCAATTGTATTGATTGATACTCATAAGTTGAAGATATAGTAAAGTTTGAAAAAAATAAACAATAGAAGTTCAGACTACAATTGGCACCTGTCGTTGCCCTGGACAATATAACAGTTAAGTATTTTGTTCTACCTACGAACATCACCAAAGCACTTGGCGGTTTCGATCATACATGAATTAATTACGAGTTCACACCTGACGCAGCGCGTCGGCCGTCCTCGCAGCGCGGCGAGTCCCTGCGGTCGCGAGCTGACTCTCTCTGTCCGCAGCTAGTAGCGCGGGGAGTAATGTCGGCTGCCGCACGCTGCCGGCCGAGTGCCGACGGAACCGGCTTGCTCGCGATTTCCACGGCAGCCGGTCCGATGTGGAAGTATCCGATCGCATGCACGTGCATTCCACGGCATTCATGCGGCGCTTTACATGTTTATAGAACATATAAATATGAACCATAATTTATTGCATATTCTTCTACAAAACTATGTCATCATTACCGAATTATTTACTCATACCACATACATAGACGTTTTGAAATAAGCAAACAACTATTTGAAATAGTCAACACTTGCCACACCACACCGCATCCTTCAACGGCCAAAGTAGGCAATCAATCCTAATATGTTCTCACCATAGTTTGCCAACACAGCTACAACACAAATATATACACTCTTAAGTCAATAAAATAATAGGTATTCCCTGATACCTTCACGTTGTTGCTGCAATCACATAGCGTCCTTGTACATTTGTACACCCGCTGTCCTGTTTCTATTGACTTAGAGAATCACAACCAATATTGTGCGAAGTATCGATAACTGTCCTGTTCCTAGCACGAAAAAAGAAATGAAAGAAAGTCAGCGTGCCAAAAGCATTTGCGATGAGAAAATAAACAAAACCTGTAGAGATGGTCAAACAATTCACGAAAAATTCGTTTGGATTATACACTCTCAAATGGAGTTCGAAAACGACATAAAGAAGCAAAATATATTGAATATTTTTTACATTTGTACAAGTTCGGAACGATGTTAAAAGAGTTGATTAATTTGAAAGAATGGGAAATCGTTAAATGATATTTAAGCTTATAGGAAAATGCGTTAGACGAAATGAAGTTGAGTTATATTACATTTTATGGCATGTGGGCAAAGCGTAAACTTAGCAGTTTAAAATGAATTTCTGATATTGTTAGGACCAAAAAACTCGAGACATACGAAACTACGCCGAATACGCATTGTATACGTGAGATTTAGGCGATGAGCGGAGCATGGATCCTGGTTTCTTTACGTACTTCCCGCTCGAAAGAGGAACCGAAGGTCAATATAAAGTATTAATGTATGTATAGGTGCGTACGTCCATATCGACGTGTCCTACGCCCGTGGAGCGTCGCTTTGGCCTGCGCCGGCGTTGTATAACGTTGAGTGCTGCCTGCGTGCTAGCTGGCGACGCGTTGCTTGATGACTTGCTTTCTGTACTGCTCTCGCGCTCTTTGTCTTCTTCGCCAGACGGTTCTGTGACAGAAATTATTTGATTTCATGAGTCACATGATAATTTGCTATTTATTAAATTTCAATAAATAAGAAAACGTACTGAAACGTATTATTTTTTTTAAATAAAGAATAAGATAGAGGTGATATAGGAAGTTAGTGATGAAAAGACATAATAATATTGCTGACCGTGAGTATATAGGGAACAAGCTAAGAATAATAAAGTGATCAAGATCATGTATCTTACCTGTCCTATTATCATCTTTAGGTGTGGAGGTGGTGGTGTTCGCGGTGGAACCAGTGGGTGGGCGACGGTACGGAAGCGTGACGGTCGCCTCAGCTGCGGTGGCGGCAGGTCGCGGCGAAGACCGACCGGCATCCTCAAGCTCAAACTGTTAACATCATACAAACTAGATAATATAACCAACTTTTGCAAATTATCAGAATACAAGCAGTTTCTTCAAAATAGGAGCAGTAAGTACAGTTGGCAATTTGTTTACGGTCAGTCTCGGAGAATTTATTGCTACAGAAAATTGTTTTTACATATTTTGCTATTCTATGTCTAGCAGCCAAATCTACTTACGAGATAAGTTATTGAGACTGAGATTTAGAGTTGATTAAAAAAGCATTTTCAATATACATATTTATGCAAATTTCATTTCTATACCAATATTTTCGCTATATGATTTTTTTATTGCTTAATTACATATTCTTTTGTGTTGGTATGTTACGTTCAAAGTATTTAATGCTCCTGATTTGAACAAAACACTGACAAGGCAATGAATTCCCTCCATCGGACCCTTTCATACATTCCAATTTCTAAGTATCCAGTGTCGGGTACTCGGCGACGAAAAGTATATCCATGTGTTGCGTTACACACGTATCGAAATTCGTCGCCAGTTACCAAGCACCAAGTAGCAGACAACAGGAGCGTGTGAAAATGCACTTATGCTTCTCATATAGCATGCAGCTCACGCGATACAAAAACCGTGCGTAAAGCAAAGAAATTGATATTCTCACAATTCCCATATAATTGACATTTGATATTAGCTAATTGCTATAATCGAGGCAATGTAGCCTACAGTCAAATTTAATTTCATCAAGTAATGTTTAAAATATTTTAACACTAGTTTAATCTACTTATATTTTTAAGTAGCATATCAAAATTACTGGTTGTCTAACTACTGCTACAAAATATACCAAAACATTTTATATGTGCGAGCGTCTACTACAAGCAAAATGCGTTCAGTTTAGTTGTTTTAATAAGCATACGAACTAGATACAAATACGTAAACATCCTACCTTCAACATAACAACTAGGAACTAGAATATCTAGTGTAATGAGTACATCTTCTACATATTTCTAACAAATAAAAATGCAATCGCTTACTTTGATATCATAGCGAAAGAACTTCTTAAAATTTACACACTGGTGCAGAAGAACATACATGCAAACAGACAAGATCTCGTAGATGCAACACATAAAAGATTATAGATTCAAATGGCACAGTTATTGGACATTTTCATTCAAATTTATACTCAGCCAAGTTATTTGGTACGCAAGAAGATAAATATTGATTTAGTTCAGCACAAGAGACCATTGGTTGGCTACTAAACCGACCGATGGTAATTACAACAGACATGGTTGTGTAAAAAGAATATAATTCAATTTAACAGTATCCACTGCACTCTGCACATAACCAATATTAATAATCTTTCCTGTATACCAAATTAGCTGACTTTATATAAGTAACATAAAAAATAGTAAATTTGTTTTTTAAAGATCCGAAGGTCTACCATGACGTGAATCTTCCAATCGAGAAAAAGGGATGGAGCTATAAAGAGTGTATAGCTCCATCCCTCTTTCACGCCCGGAAGATTCACGCTTAAACACTTCACTGCAGGCCTACAATCATATGCAGTCTTCAATTTGATAAGAAGTCTAATAACTGTGCAATAAAGTATATTGTGCAGAAGGAGTCACACATACTACTAAGGATTGAACGGTGCACGAAATAATAAGGGCTAAAGTTTTTACTTTGACCAGATAGCACTAATGTAGTGTAAGGTCCCGTTTGTACAATCACTGTAGTCTAAGATTTACATTACAATATAATACTTGAAAATACGGTAGTTTCCAACTAGTCAAATTCAATACTTTTATTTAAATATCAAAAACGATACTTCTCTATTTATTTTGTATGACATACCAACATTTAAAATCATAATGTCTTTACGTATAAAGGCATACTTTTTAAAGCCAACTCCAAAATGTCTAAATTGAAGTATATCGTCAAATCAATGAATGAAAGCACGATTATATTTTAATTATTGATTGTATTTAAAGAGTCAAAATGATTTTTTGACTTAGGAAACTACCCAATTGGAAATTATCTATTAGACAAATAGGACCTTATGCTCATTTTAGTCTGCGAAAAACGGTAGCCCTAATTGACAGAGATGAGAAGAACGAACGAATTCTGATGTTGGGATAATGACACTGCAATACAATGACATGACAAAATGTAAATGTATATTTTACACAGACTGACAAAATTTAACCTGACTACCGCTACGGACAGGACGCAATAACCAATACAGGGGATTCTAGCAGGAGCAATCAAGAATTTAACTCTTAGTTTGAATGTTATTACAGTTACTAATCAAATGAGATCATTTGTTAATATTTAAATCGGTTGCAAGGTAACATTCGTGATATGAGCGTAGCGGATAGATGGTTAAATGTATTATTTACACTTTGACATAGAAATGTTACTATATTTTTGCCTATTTCCTCCCAAATAAGAAATCTTTATCGATAAAACATCGTCAATAAGTCCCAAAATCAGAATTTCATCATCATATTTATTGCGAAAAGTAATTTATTTCCACACCATGCGCGTCCCACCCAACGACTGAGTCAAACAAGATTGTCTGCATTTATGACTGGTCTATAATGACTACATTGGCGACTAGGGGGTTACGTATCTTAAGACCTTCATGCTTAGTTTCAAGCAACTCTATTTAATTTTAAATTATTTTTGATAACATTCTAAAATACTGTAATGGAACACAAAATAAAAACTAAATGATAAAGGAAATGATAACAAAAAGTAATAATTTGCAAATAAAAGCAACGCAAAAATTTTATGAACATTTCCGATTTCATGTAGACCAATTAATTAATAAAAAGAATGGAGGTAGTTTGGCTTGACCTTCACCATAGACTACGATTCCTTTCACACCTGACGGAAAATACATTGCACAACATCAGAACGAATAAAAACATAATGCAACATTAAATTTTAAGGCTATTTTCCGTTAGATGAGAAAGGCCTCGAATGACAATCTTGTTCGATGGTCGCTGTGGTATAGCCACCTTGTTAGTGGGGTCGAGCCTGAGCCGCCACGAGGGACGGCGCTCGCTGTTGGCAGCGATGGTAGCAGTTGCCGTCGCCGACGCGCACGCCAGAGCTAACGACACCGCCACGTCGCCACCCGGAGTCGCGGCGCGCGCCTATACAATATACATACCCCACAAATCAATACTCTACGATCCACTAACTTGGACCACTATATCATAACAACTTTTTTGAATACTCCCCATTTACAATAAAAAAACACATTAGTAATAATTATTTATTGTTTTTCTCTTTCTCTCTCTCTTATTAGTTGGTTTAAGAGATTATTTTATTTTACGAAAGTCGTGACAATGAACCAAATGGCCATATAAACACAGGGCGACATGAAAGCACACATTGGTCACAATGAGTTTCGGTATAAAAGTTATAAATAAAAAAGAACTCAAAAAGACAAACTCAACGTATATACAAGAATTGCAGTACCAGTGTAATTTTTGTGAACAATTTCTTCAGTAATTTTGTTACTTACTTATGCCCGGTTCCTATATTTAACGAATCGTCGTTGTATGACATTACGACCAAATGACATTACGAATAGTTATCTTGACCGTCTACTGACGGTTAAAATATTTATAGGAACACCACAGACACCATAGATCTCCATACAATTCGCTTACCGATATCCGTTAGTTGCAAACCGTCAGTAAGTTGCACGACGAGACGTTTATTATAGAAACGGTTTTAGCTTACGAGTCGTATATAAAACTACTATTCGTAATTAAAACGGATCGTTTCTCAATTATAGGAACCGGGCGTTAGTGCTTTTACGCATTGTAGACCAATTTGACAAAATATTTATATTAATCTCGACACACGATTGGTCAAACAGATTAATCCAGCTGAAAATAACTCCAGCTCAAAATCAATAAAATGGCCCAATTTGGTAGACGCAAATTACACTAGTCTGTCCAGACTATGTACTATTTATGAACACCTAATAAAATTCCGTGACAAAGATCATACAAAAATACTAATAAAGAAAAAATATTAAAAAACTATTATAGTGTTAAACTTTTTCCAATAGTAAAGTTAATGGCATATTCCCGTTTACCGATTAGTCACTTTGGAAGCATTTTTTATAAAAATATATATATATTTAGTAATCCTTACTACCCTTTTACTACCGAGTACCTACGTAGTGGGAACTATAGTGTTAGGTGGGGAATTAGTAGGCCACGTACCGAGCCGTTGTCTGTTGGTGGTGGCGCAGGAGTAGGTGTCGGTTCTTCTTTCTTCTGGCTGCCCGGTGAGGGGCTTTCTGTGGTGCCATTACCGGCTTTCTTCTTGACGAGCTGTTCTGCGGACTTGATCTCGTCGAGTGTGACTCCTTGGGTGGAGCGTCGCGTTTCACGCACTCTTTTCGCGTGAGCTTTCCTTTGAGTTTCACTCTCCTCATCTCGAACCGGGGGCACAAACGACCTGTATCATCAAAAGTTTGAGACTCCATTCTTTACACTCCACATTTTACAAAAGAAGCAAATCAATAACAATTATTGCAAATGGTTTACTCAAAATCTGTTAGACATGCAACACGTCTAAATAAAATATCAAACTTGTCATGCTTGATATTGAAACCATAATATTACTAAAACGCAAATAAAATCGTCCGAGCACAAACAGACGAAGCGCAAATGATAATAACTAACACACATAAAACCGATATTACTTGAACACGAGAGCTGTTTTAGTGAGAAGTATCAACTGACTGACTGAAACTAAGGATAACATAAAACTTAACTTTTTTGGCAGTCAGTGCTAAACCCTTCGTTACCTATACGTACTATTTGTAATAAAAAAGATCTTAAGTATAAGTAAATAAGGTAACAATTCGCGTGTCCAAGTATTTTACAAAACATCACGGTTACTTGAAGAAGTTCTTGAATATGTTCCCGGGCGACAATTTGGTGGGCGTAGCAGAGCTGGGTGATGTATTGCTACTGTTCGACTCTACGCTCTCCGAGGAACTGTTCACAATACCAAACTTTGTGTAGCAACAATGCATTGAACAATATTGAATATCAGTTCCTTTAACGGGAATCATCATTCATTCATAACCTTCTCTTTATCTATTCTCGTCATACACTTTCTATACTCGTTTCTAAGACAAACACGATTTACCTAACACGGACACACTGCTATCTACTTGTGGGCATACTTTCAAATCACTTAAATACTTTAAGGAACATATTGGTAAAAATTACATTACATTGTGATTTCTTTATTACAACAGTGGAATGAAAATCCTTGAAAAGGAAAAGAATCGTTGTTGCATGCACAGGAAAAGGGACTCTTCTTCTTTAAACTTAAGGTTTATTCTTCCAAGAATTTTCGCTACGTGTATAGTAAGAATAGGGTTATAAGTATGTCGCAATATAAATATACCTTCTGACTGTCGTTGTGGTGGTGGTGTTGGTCGGACTGGCGCTCGGTGTGGTAGTGGTCGGGCCGCTCCACGTGTTCACCTCCCTTTCTCGTCTGTCCGAAGGGTTTATTCTAATACAATAAAAATATCGATATAATACTCATATTTTAAAAATACAGTGGCCATCCATTTTCAACTCTATTCTTATGGTATAAAGTCGATTTCCCTAATGAAAAAAATTACCAGTTGGAATAGGTTGACAAGCTGACCACTGTACATCATGATTCAGCAAATTATGTTTGTGTGTGAATCTACTATATAGCATAGTATATCAAAATATGAAGATAATTTTAATAAACAAAAATATACGAATTAAATTCCACACCCTATTATGATTTTATAAGTAAAAATTATATAATTGACTAGAAGGTCGTGTAAACATAAGATACATATATACATAAAAGCAGTAACATATACACACATACAACAACAATAATAAGCATACATAGCGAGACATAAATAACAGTTATTGTGATAAATATTAAATATTCATGTTACTACATGAATAGTATCGATCGTTGCGGTTTGTTTCTGAGGACAACTATTATCACTAACACATGTATTATAGACTCTATAATGAATATTTTAAGAACCAAAATCCATAATGAACTCTATTAGTTTGTCTTTAAGATACTAATTCGTAGTGAAAATAGTGTCAGAAGAAAACCACATCGATCTCGAACAGTAATAAACGAGCACCTTGTTTGTACATCGTCGTTAGTACTCTCTGTAGCATTGTTAGTGTGCTCTTGAATTTTTTTCCTCTCCGTTGGTGGCTGCGCCGGCGGTATTGAAGGGCACGAGGACGCCTTTATGCGTGCGGTCACGTCTCGATACCGTTGGTAGAAGCTACAATGCACACAAGCATGCGACATGTACGTAGCGTAGGCGATGTTAAATGTAATAAACAATATGTCGAAGTAACGAACAAGTCTGCCAAAAGCCGAGTGAATAAGGTAGTTTCCAACTAGTCAAATTCAATATTATTATCAAAGTGTCTAATACTATATGCATTTTCATGAAATTTTAACTTTTGATGCTATACCCCCTTATTACAAAACAAGATTTACCTTTAGTCCAGGTTTAAACCATTGAGTCGGGTTTTGAATATTGAATCTTATTGTCATCTACCTTCAATTCGAAATACAAAAATTGGCTCAATTATTTAGTCCTAGACTAATGTAAACCCTTGTTTTGTAATAAGGCCGATAATGTTTTAGCGACAAGCAATTTTTTTTTAATTTGCTAAAAGTAATCGTAAATGAGGTAAATCGACAAGTCAATGAATACAAATATTTTTTGAATTAAAACATCGGATTTATTTTGACTACGAAAACTAACCCATTATTCGGTACAAGACCACCATACACTTGCCACATTCCATTTCACATCAATAATTTTAGTATATTTTATTTTGTAATCTCTTCTTTACTTTATATTGTATCCAATATAGAAGAAAGATTTAAAATCATTTTTAGCAGTTACTTGTTAGCACATTGTTAAACGTTATGTTTTATCTATTATTTATTATTGATGATTAGTGCTAGCATAACTTTGGCGTACATTTTTAAGTCATGTAGTGTTTTCCGTTTTAAAAATACTATATATAAACTGAGTTATTTAATTGAAGGTAATTAATTGTGTGACAAGGGCACGAATCAGAGACCGTAGCAAATATGTAAGAAAGCAGTGCTGTATTAAAAATAACTCTGTAAACATCTGGTCTCACTCATTAAACCTAATTCACCCTGTTTCTGTACCCTCCTTGTAGCACATTTAAGATTCCCAAAAACGCCACATAACATGGAACAATGCCATTGAAATGCCAGTACTAACAACAAACCCTTATACATGACTTAAGAAAATGCTTAAAACATTTTATAAAGAATTGTGAGCAAAATAATTAAAAAGATGTATTGCAAAATAATACAAGCGTAAAACTGTTTTGACAAACAAACAAACATCAACATTGCAAGAAACAAAGACCATAATAAAGTGATGATTCATACATATAGGCAAACTGACTGGTGACTAATGTATCATGTTAGTAATGTGGCTTCGAATTGGGTGGTGTCTAAGAGAAGTGCAATACTTTTGGAGCATTGACAACACAGTCACATATTTTATCTTGTTTGCATTATACTTTTAAATGGCTTTGTTTTTATACATCTAATTCCATTTTCTTCAGTCAAACTGCCGGAGATACATAAAATACAATTTTACTAACATGTACACATACTGTGTCTAGATTTGTGTCAGTTACGTTAAAAGAATCCTATAAGCCTTAAACACTGCTCTCAAGAGTTATTTAAGTTTTTTTTTTTGAATATCCTAATTGAGTAATACTTTTAGTCATATAGCGGTCCTGTATAATAATTATTATTGCTAAAGCAACGATATTCTTAAAAAGTCATTTTCATATAGTTCATTGGTAGAGCTAGTTCTGAGTATTTTATTTAGACAAACTCTCAAGCAATCCCATCCAAAGCCACATTACGAACTTCAATTGACAGTAGCTGTCTGAGCGTTTTTTTAGATTTACGACATCAAAGCATAGAAAACTCACAATACTCTAAGAATGTTTATATTTTAATCGATATTTTAGTTGTCATGCCAAAATTTTAATGGAGCAATTCACTTTGTACATATTTACTTTTACATTGCACAACAGTTTACTTTGTGTAGACGTTCAATAAAAATAAAACCTGGCTGTCTGCCATTTGGGACATACTACATACGATTTAGTATACAGTATTTCGTCTAAAGGTTTTAAAAAGCATATAAATTGACTAAAAAGTCTGTTTCTGACTAAAATATTGCTTTAACATTGATTCATTTAATGGCAACAAATCAAGATGACGGTATTGATTTTTGTTTTGTAGTGACAGCCGTGCTTATCACTACAAACAAAAATGATTGATCGTTTTCATTCGAAGCTTACGATAAAAATTTTATATTTTAAGAAAAGTCGAATGGGGAATGTCTTGTAAAAGATTGTACAATGTTAATTAACGAGATGGGGATGACATGAGTTATATACAATAAATACCTCTTATCATTTTCAAAGCTGTGTGTTCGTCTCAGTATGGTGTCGTTATCAACTGCATTGTTCACCGTCTTGCTATTTTCTCCTGAAATTATACAAAATGCGCATTCAATAAAATTATTCTAGAAATTGTCATATTTTTAATATCTAATATGTACACAGTATAGCTATAAAACTACATATTATATTATTGTAGCTCCTCGCGCTAACCTTATCTGTTCATTAATTTGTTATCAGCCATATCCCATATAATAGAAATATTATGGTATATGAACGTTAAACCCATTAATCCTGAAAGTGCGATCAATACAACAATATGATAAAATATTAATAAGTAGATAATAACAAAGCAACATAGATTGATCAAAATTTCAGAAATTGGGTTTGTTCACCTTTTGTATCCCAACGACTACACTCTGCTGCACTGTCAAATGTATGGAAACAATAAATGTGGTCACACCGTGAAGTAAACGTGATTGGTTGGTAATGTACAATGTGATACAAAGAAAAAACAAGTTTAGCTGTCCAAGGCCCCGAGCGGTACTTACTGGGCGGTTCTGGTTGCCTGTTACGGAATGAGGCAGATCTGCGCCATGAAGGCGCGTCTTCTGGCGACGATTCTGTTTCTGTGGTTTCAGGCGAAGGCGGCCTGCCTCGAGGCGGCTTGCCCTCCGTCTTAGTAATCTCAGGCGACGCCGGCGGCTTGTCTGTTGTGAATGATGATGAATGAGTGATAGGTTTGAACAACATTTCTAATACTATGAAAGATAATTTAATACGCATTATATTATTTTAATAGTTTATCATTTTTGGTACTTCAAATGATATGTTGTCCAAACCCGAAGGCAATGTGAAGTTAAATGTGACCTCGGCCAGTCGATAGGGCGAGTGGCTATTAGCACAACAAACACTCATACCAGTAACAATAACAGATATCACTTAATATTATAATAAATAGCAAACTCGTTTCACCAATAATTATACCAAATAAAAGTTTATTCCTTCTTCAAAGTAGCATTAACATTATGCTGTAATACATCAGCATAGCATCGAACAAATATAGAGACCGTGTTTGTGAAAGGAACATGCTATTCGTTCGAATGTAGGCAGCGTGTTTACCACTTTCTCTATATACTGCGGACCTGTATTATTTCGTTTATCAATAATTCTGACATAAGCAAAAACAAAACTAGAAGCAATGTCGAAAGCTACCGTAAGCGCTTCAAGAACGTATCACAAATGGAGACTGAAAGCTATATACATGTTCCGTAGTACTTTCTAGAATCAGGACTCTTAAATAAAGGTAGGTAATATCTTTCAATATTTGTATATTTACAGAAGGGAGAGCCATCTATAGTGTGATTCTAATTACGAACGAGGGCCAAATTTTGTCTTGATAGGGACCAGTTCATTGTGTATTATAATAATTGGAAATTTTAACTTTGTTCAACTTAACACAATTGCTCTCAGTGCATTGTACTGAGAGGATTATCCCTTTGGGCGCATGTTTGTTCTAATCATGATTATATTTCACCATTGTTGTAATGTTACAACATGTTTCAGTTTACTATCAGATTTTAAATTTGTATTTTGTTATGTACCTATTATTTTCTATGTGTATTTTTAAAGCAAATGTATTTAACTTATTTCTTACTTTTACTTAATATTTTTTATATTGCCCTTACTTCATTTCATTCGTGTCTCTTTAGTAGAATACAAAACAAATTAGCAATGATGAAAAAACTCAAAGCCAAAATTTACCCGCAACACAACATAATCTGGCTATCGGGGTTATCACAAGATAAGGATTTTGAGTAACTTTTATAATAGGCGAAATGTATTATATACATATCCAAGTTATTAATGAGTTAAGCTTTCATGTAATGTAATCACAGTGGATACAAGCTGAGTGTACACAGTCTATGTGTGTTTTAATGTCCTTTAGCAAGTTTTACCGTATAAGACACATGGTGAATAAATTAAAGTCAGCCAATGACAGTCAAGAACCAGCTATTTCATTGTTTTTTATAGCTTTAGCTATAAAAAACATCTTTCATAGTAAAACTTGCCAATGGACATTAAGTCTTAACTATAACATAATAAGAATAAACAATCAAGCCACCTCTAGTCTTACCGTTGACGACTTTCTCTGGTTGCGCGTTGATCTCGATGTCCGCTCGTTTAGCGTCATGTTGTGGCGGACTGCGCTTGCGTTTGTTATTGTTATTGTTCATGCGACGCTGCGCATTCATTGCGTCTGCCAGCCACGACGTCATTGCTGGATCGACAAGGTCCATGCAAGTTTGGCCCTGAAAGTAATATTTACGGTCCATTATTTAAATGAAAAGGTCACTAATTTAGTTGATCGACAGCCCTTAATGACGTCGCCATAAGAATGTATTGATATTGTAGAATAAAGGAGAAAACTGAGATTTTATTAACAAATATTCCACTTTTATTATTTCTCAATTTGTCCACACAACGTGAGTTTTACAGTGACCTTTAACGAAGTCCATATATTGAATAAATGTAAGGACAATACTTACAGAATAGTTCTTGATAAGCGGGTCGGCTCCGTATTGGAGGAGCAATGCGGCTGCGTCTTTCTGGCCCCAGAGTGCAGCCGCGTGGAGTGGCGTCCAGCCTTCGTAGTCAACGCAGTCTGGGTCAGCGCTGCACTCCTCCAGCAGAGTAGTAGCCACCTAAGAATAAAACCATAGTATACAAAACAATAAAGTAAAAAATATTTTAAACGTTCTGGGTAAATACATATTTTATATGTACGTTTCAACTGACCCAGAAGAAAAATAAAAGAAACACACAAATAACTTTCATTATGCAACAGTCTTTTATCAATAATTGCTATGCATAGATGACAGAGTAGATTGATATGCTGGCGACAGTACCGTATCTTTAGTATCATTTGTTTAGTCTTAATGCTCTGAAATATTACGATGCTTGGGGTAATGCTCGCTATTGGGTGCAGGCTTTTTCTTTTACTAGGCACTAGCTGACAAAGCGAACTTCGCACCAAAATAATAGCTCAAAGTTTAATAACGAGTAGTAGTTACCTACTTGTTATTAAACTTAACGTTACTAACGTTAAGTTGAGCTTTGAGCTTGCTGAACTTGAGTTTTGTTCCTTATCAAATTATGCTATGTTACTCGTAGCACGGGTTGTATGGGAAAAAATATCTGTGTAACTCATATTACATCTTACTAATATTTTCAGAACTTCTATGCCAATTTAAGGAATAAGTTAGCCAAATCGTTTTCGTGTTTTAGAGAAGCTAAAGTACATCAAATTCATCTTTATTCTTAGTAACTAAACAGACAAAGCATTGTTTTCTTTGTATGAGGAAGAATGGGTTCTATAATAGCTGGCGCGAACAATGACCGTCGCTGTAGAAGTTTGAAATCAGTACTTTTGCCGCTATGAAAAAACAACTTTTCCATACGAAAATAGATTTTGATAAGGAACACTACGAGCGCAAGTCATACAGGCTCACACTAAGTTGGCCCAGATTTCTGTTAATGTAGTTATAATATAATAATAACTTACATCGATGTATCCTTTAGCTGCCGCAACATGGAGCGGGGTCCCTCCGTTCATGTCCCTGACCTCAACATAGCCGTTAGCTGCCCAATTGCGAGCGTCACTCAGCAGCGTGTCCACCTCAGCGCTGCGAGATTTGTCGCAGTCCACGCCTGAGAAATAGAAAAAAAACACAATTACACTAATGTTTGTTTTGCTTAAGAGGTCTTTATTAGTTTCCTTGATCATTTAATTTTAGTTAGTTTTGTTTAATTTTCTTAACTACATGTCTTAATAACAAAACGTTCTAATAATATAAACTGAAGATCTTTACAATCATTACATCTTTACATCAGTACAATTAATGAAAAACAGGCAGCAGCGCTTTTAAATAAACCTAAACCTTATAATCTTCAAATAGACTGCCAACATCCATAATCTTTCACATCTAGTGATAGGTTATCATTCTACATCCTTTTTTTGAGGGGTAAAATATCATACAGTGACTTTCTCAGGGTCCACCACCACCATAGGGTTCCACCACCCTATGTAAAAATAGAATAGAACCAAACATGACGTAGGGGATACATAATTAAAAAAAAACAATCACTTGATCGGTTTGGGTGATTGTTTTCATTATTTTATTACAAAATTAGATACGACCAATGTTGCTCCAACAATAGTCCGTGTCAGTCTTAAAAAGATGATGACTATAATGACGAAACGATACGATGACTACTATTCAAAAATATCTTTAATTTATAAAAATTTTACATTTTCAAAATACTGACCTTTCTCATCAATGATCTTTTGCAGCAACTCTGCCATCTCATCGCTTTCAGCGATATCAACGGGTAGTTCTCCATCGTAGTTCACTGCAGCAACGTCCGCACCGTTTTCTAACAGGTACCTGAAGGACAAGAAACATTTTATTGTTATTTTAAACTAACTACAGATCATATCTACGAAACATAATGGAAATATCGTAAAAATAAATCTTAAATAAACGCGAAATTTAGTAAATTCTGTTGATATGACAAGTTTACTGCATATAATACCGAGGCAAATATTAAAGAAGAAATATGAACTTCATTAACAATAACTCAGATGTATGGTAGCATACAACCTATCAAATCATATATAACCACAATCGGAACCCAGAATTAGCTGCCAAAAATATTATTCATACCTATCGTACTTGAAAATATTCGAGAAGTCGATTTGGTCGTAACCTTTGATGGGATACGCGGTATAACACGTAACATTACAAAAATAAATACTACGCAAATAATTTCGTAGGTGGATTCTATGTTTAAATGTGTACTTCCATAAACTTATTTGTCTATCGTCAAGCGTCATGTAAAAGTTTATCTTTCATTTGTAAAGGGCGTATTTCATAAATCCTACCCTTTAATCGTTTAACGATTCAGATTCGATACACATTATATTGTTCAACGTAACAACTAATAAAGATCAACGCTTACTGTTTTTATCGTAAGAGAAACTCGTTGACATTGTCAATACTAAAATACATAATGTATTAGGATAGTGTTGAGGTTTGTAATAATGAACAGGAAAATGAAATCATAATTTCTGAGAAGATGGTACATTATTCTTAAAACGCTTTCAGTATTACTCGTATTCCGAATAATCATTGACAACTATAGGAACATAGTCTAAAAGTTTTATGTTAACACTAAACACTGCTGATAAAACATAAATATATGTTATTAATGTGAATATTTTCTGCAACATCTCTAATTATTTGTTGTCTTTTCCGTGAGAAGGCTCCGTTCCGGTACAAATGTGCGCCTTATACTTATTGGCCGCGATAAAAACATATACAATACCGCCAACGTATCTTGGCGAATCTGAAGGTACCCGATTAGCTCCGCAGTACACAATTTTGTTCTTAAAAGATCCATTGCGCAGACAAACGGCTAACTTCAGACTCGCCAAGATACGTCGGCCGTACTGTACTTACACATAAATGATAGAAAAATACATAAATTACACTACGCGTTAACTAGAGATTATTTAACGAAATGACCCATATCTAAGTAATAAGATAATAAAGCTGAAGAATATGTTTTTAATCCCCGTAATCATTGGTTTTGGATTGAACAATTATTTTTGTGTTAGATATTCCATTTGGAGCCGTCTAGCGAGCTAAACGCGCGAGAGTAGCTAGACAGTAAATAAAACCTATGGTTTTCAATGTGTTATCATTTATTAACTTAATATAATGAATAGTTCACAGAAAACTCTGTGCCTATTGGGTCAGTGTGACTCAACCTTTGTTGACACCCGCCTATCATGTGTGGTACGCTGCGTCAATGTTGCGTTATTCATCACATTATGACACAAATAAGTAATGATTGATTGTTAGGAAATTCAGGAGAGTACCGTATGGAACTCTACTCTTTAGACTAAGATTATTCCAAAGTGACATAATCATATTATGTCTACTTAAATATGACATACCTAAATAATAGATGACGCATTAAGAATAATCGAAATCGCATGCACGCTATTGAAATCGCTTATGAATGCACTTGATGAAATGGATAGCATTGTGCAATGAAATAATCCTGCATGTTGCGACATCCAGAAAATACAATGGGCTTAGGTCAACTTGCACGACAGTTCATCAATAATCTATGATATAATAAATTCATATTTTATCAAAATATTTTGAATATAAACAAAACATTTTGAGCAAATATTATTTTAACGAACTGTCGTGCGAGTTGGCTTCATTAATATTGTTTACCTAGCTATGCTGAGAAATCCACAAGACGCTGTGGCATGCAGAGGAGTCCAGCCTTCGTTGTCCCCGCGGTTGACGTCAGCGCCGTGCGTCACGAGAAACTCCACCATGTCCAAGTTGTCGTCTATGCACGCCTGAAATAAACATACCGAGATTTTGTGTAAAAAGACTCATGAAATCTACATCAATACTGTTTTATCGATTTTTTTTATAATCCCAATTGCCTGTATATGTTATCTACCCTATTGTATACGGTTCGTATATATCGGTCACATCGTTCATAACGCATTTCTAATTTCAGAGTTATTGTTAAAAATATTGGAGAGATTAGATACATATCGCAGAGCTGTACTTTTTATTAAAAAGCAACATGGAGAAATATCACATTACAATAAAGAAAACTTTAGCTTTTTATTACCTGATAATTCTAGAATTTCAAAAAAGTTGAGGTTTTCGACATGTTACAAAGAAAAAGCGGATTACTAAAATTCCCAAGGTTAGTAAGTACGATTTATATCTCTTAGGTTAAGGTATGTAAGGTAAGGTAACTGTTTTTACGGGACAGTAAGCACCCTTTATTAACTTTATTCAAATAAGTATTCTTCATACAACGTAAAACCACATTTATATATAGTTCGGCACAGCAAATACAAAGTTATAGTTACTTTATAGTTATAGTAATCGCTAGCTTTTCTCCTTAAAAAATAATTAAACTTCGCACAGCAAGTCAGTCTAAACTCTAAACTCTAAAATAGAAAGATATTTACTTAATGAATAAACAGTAACACACAACATAATACAATTGAAGCCGTTTCAATACATTTGCATTAATTTTAAACAGGTAACAGTTGCATGAATACGCTTGCGATAGTTGAAGCCATGTCCTATAAGATGCAGTTCCACAATCTACGCATCTATGCTTACTAGGAAATTGTTTACTTCACGGTAAAATTATTATTAAGTATTATGTAAACCTGTATAAACATATACATCACTCATCTGGGAAAGTCAAAGTTAACAGCAAAGTAGCAATTAGTCAACTAGTAAATAATATTTTCGTAAAAAAGGATAAAGTAACGACTTCATAAAATATAGTATTGTTTTGTATATTTTATATCAAAAAAATAACTTATAGCCTTAGCAATATATTTCAGGAGAGTATATCGATTAAAACTTTGTATATATACAATTGATATTCGCATAATAGCATAAGTTACAACTGGTACAGGTATCTGATAAAGCGCAGTTGCAATTGCAGGCAATGCAATGATAGACATTAATTTCGCTCTTACATATCTACATTGCGTATAAATAATTTTAATTGTTTTAATAATTGCTCGAGCGCTGATAAATAATGACCTAAGGCAGCAGCTCAGTAACACGGTAAGAGCAATGTTTTCCTGAAATCCACTGGGAAGTTTAATAGCTCTGAACAGTAACACGTTATGTTAGCATTAAGTGAAGCTCTATGTGCATCAGTTCGGAACCAGTGCAGGGTCAGTGCCGTGGTCACTGGCGCATGCAGTACCGGACCGCCGAGCTCGCTGCCAGAGGATGAAATGACTTTAAGAAAAAACATTGCTTAGGGGATGGAGTAATAATCCATAAAGAAAACTAGCCATAAGTGAAGAAATTATCAACTATTTACTTACTTTAACAAAAAGTCTTATAATTTTACATTAATCTATTTATAACACAATCGCACAGCGAAGACGATAATTTTTACAGACTCAGTTTTTGACATTTATTTTTCATACAACATATCATCTCTTGGCATACCAAAGAAAATGAAATAGTACAAGAGAACTGGCTTAACTAGTGTAGTATGCCCGGATGGATGAAAACTAAGAGCACAGCTGATGTAACTATATTGTCATCGTGTTGAGATTTCAAATAAGCCTGCTTCTTGAATCATGTAGATCCATAGCAACGATAGCTAGACAAAATACTGCTGTTTTACTAGCAAAAGAAAAATGTACCTATGTTTCCAACACATTATATTGAGTTTGAAAAAAGTAATGTATTTTATTTTATAGATTTCCTTGTTACACTAGATTAGCAACACTCAAATTATATATACTATAATATTAAACGAGCGATGAACAATAATAAGGAATTTTATATTTCCCTTTGTTTTTTTTTCTTTAGTTATGAACAAATGTACTCAGTATAAACTTTTATTTTATTTTGGGGTCGCGACAAAATGATTGCTTTCCAAAAGTGTCGACCCACTAAAATATTGAGTACCGCTGCTCAAGTCAATAGTCAATACGTATCAACTAAACACAAATAATTTTAGTAAAACTAAATGCTAACAAATAGGAACGTTCGCTGCAGCAATACAATCGCCTTGATTAAAACGAGAACAACAGGATGATCAATCGAAACATAGTTTTCTCAATACAGGAATGTAAATATTGTCATAGTGGGGTGGTGAGACATAATCGATAAATAGGATATCGATGTAGGCATCTCATTATCTGAGCGCTCCGGATGTGACCGATATTCGAGTCGAGTACGCGCACCGTACAGTGCAATTAGCTTTTCATTATGTAATTGTTTTAATGAGCACTTTTGTATCGGTTCACAATGGAAGGACTGACATGATATGAACGACAATGAGGGTATATTTGTATAGAGCACAACTATCGAATGGTTATAAATAGAAATGAATAGCTGAAGCTGGAAAGCTACTGAAGCCTCTCGGGTTAAGGGTGGTCTTGTAAGGCGAAAATTTGTAGTATGAAAATTTATAAAAAAAATTAAGGCAGTAGGCATGACTGGCGAGCATCAGCCCTGAACGTCATCGACACTTTCCATTTATTACATTATATAAGAAGAAAAAGATACGAAATGAATCATGTTCATGTGAGATTCAAAAATTGATTTTGTTTGTTAATTGCAATTTATGAAAAAACCTGTCAAATGCGAACCGAAAGCTGCAATGAGATCAAGAGTATAATTATGTAATTTTAGTTTTTTATTATATCAAGGTACTTTCGTAAAATAGTATTGAAGCGACTAAACTATTCTGTTTTATCATTGCGCACTGTATTAGTGTACCTGCATGTATAAAAACTGCTGATAGCCATTTGAGGTCATAGACATCTACGACGAGAAAGCAGGTTTGCTATTGGTTATTTGTTACAACTTCTATCACAATATTTGTTAAATAAAATAGTGTTTTTTTAATAAAACGGATCTCCCATCAAACGGTATATGATTAAATTGCTAATTTAGTTATATAAATCTAAAACCAGAAATACAACAATTAAAGATATTGATCACCACGTCGATAAATATCTTTGTATGCATTCGAATTCGTAATAAATTGGAATAAAAACTAAAATAGGTTTTACATACGTGTACACTACCAATTAGGGTCAATGTCGATGGCTACATAGTTAAACAATTTTGGTATCCTACTTATACATCACAAACATTGAAAATATGAAAGCTGACCAAACCATTTGCTCATTCATTAAATTACATTAACGAAAAAATTATATATTATTGTTTAATATTAATTTATGTTCGTAACACTGACATCATCACAGAGTGTCCACTGTCTAAAGTCAGTCATCTCTCTAGGTCCAACAACATAAATATAGTCATGATTCATCATATGACAGGACCCATTAAATATGAATTAAAATAGAAATAATCTGTCGTAAAAATTCTCAAGAGTCACCCTTTTGCAACTGTTCATAGAGTTTGATTTTACCTACAAAATGCAGTCGAGATTAAATTCCTCTTCCGAGATAAGAGTAATAAACCAACATCATTAGGTATCGGATGGCTGATAGTACACAGGCGGCAACCATTTCAATCACAGTCATGAGTTCTCTTTGCCAAAAAATTTTGCTCAAGTTCCAATACTAGCAAAATTAATGTAAAAAAATCGTCGCGTGCGCAACCTGTGACGTAATTTAACTCCAATATCAACGAATGTCTGTCTCTGAAGTGACCTCGAAATTAAATTTTCTCGCCCAATTCTAAAATAACGCGGCGCTATGTCATTTAGTTGCTAACGTCATACCCCCTGAAAATTTGGGTTGGTCAATGACAGCGCAGAACAAGAATTGTATCTAGACAGCAAGCTACCTATCTAAAATCTAGGTCAATAAATAGAGCAGCAGTATTTTACCACACCCTAGGCAAACGAATGCTCACATTTTTACAAAAAATAAGGCCATTGAATTCGGTCTTCTAAATCAAATTGTCTTGATAAGCAAATGCAGCAGATATCATCTACATGCAGATTCGGTGGCAACAAGTCATCGACCCAATTTCCTGGACTATCTAACGAGATGACTATCGCACGCTATTAATACCGAGTGTTATGTTAGACGTATAGAGAAGACAAAACGCATCCGCGATCAGACGCTGCCAAAATCATAATTCATTGGAGTTGATGGCAATAACAGATAGCGCACTGTTTACAAATTATAATAAATAAAGCAGTCATAATGCCTCTTGAAAATATATAAAATATATATCCTCACATGATCTACTATACATGTTTCAGTTAGAATATTTTAAAGCGATATACTAACTTCAAAATAGGTTACGATGTTATTGTTATGTGAAACGGGTCGATCGATCAATAAAATGTGACGTAGGAAAAATCAGCACGAATCTATATTGAAACTCATATAGGTAGTTTATTTTATGCGCTTTAATCAATTAGCAATATTTATCGGACGAAGGAGAAATATTTTAAGTGGAAGAAAAAAGTCATCAGGCAAGTAAACGTGCCAATTCGTGTTAAGATCTAGACTGGCTGCAGACTCGCCCATTTCTACTTTGATAAAATTATTAGACTCTGAGGACAACAACATAGCATCGTAGACAATAATTATAATAGTGACGCAATAGGTAATGGACATACTACACTACACCTGCTACTACGTACGTAAGTACGAAATGAGAGATTGATGAATATTAATACACATAGAATCGGTGCCGTCCAGTTGCAAAACAAGATGATGGTTTCTTTGCGAGTCAGTTCGAGTTAGGGCATCGTGCAGAAGTTAAAGTAATATGCTAGAATCGAAAACATCAATTATCAATCTCAAATAACTTGAAAACTTTTTAAACTGGTTTTAATTTCGACACAATATAGGTATGACAA